ATCTCTTTTCTGGATTCATTTAACCATGGCATTCTTCAAATCAGCAAATTTGTTATGTTGCTTATTGAATAAACATTCTTAATCAGAGAATAATGGTTACCTCCATCAACAAAATAGACATTTATGTCTTTACCTCACGTCTTATGGTTGTTTTATATCCATTTCCACTACTGAACTGTAAGCTTCTTGAGGCTGGTAGGGGTGTCTTTCATCTCTGCAGCACTAGGACCAAGCCGAGAGTACATGTTCCATACATGTTTTCTGATTGAATGAGTGAAGGTATTGTCTGGATTTACCTGCTTTTAAAAATAAATGTCTTTTCAATTCTAACCAGTAATCTACATGCATTTTGGCCCTTAGAGTTCACAAGCATGCTAAACCAAAGGGAATCTTCAAAGGAGCAATCAGTCGGTTAGAAAGCAGATTGCAAGGGGTGAAGGTGAGGTTAGCATGAGGAAGCAATGAATGTGGCATGTACCTTCACAAAGTTCTGTAATGGAAGAGGAAAGACAAGATTATGGGGTTAGGGAAGGCTGAGAGAGAAGGCTGTGATTGTGATTGGAACTTCAACATGCCAGTATATTGAAATGGAAGAGTAAATACGAGAAGCTAAAGGCATAAGAAAAATAAGGGCTACTTTTTGGAGACATGAGAGTAAGGGATCGAGAACAAAAGATGAGAGGGGAGTTAACCTTGGAAAGGAGAAGGAACTCTTCCACCTTGGAGGTGAGGTTGAAAGTAAAACAGGTAAATTGAGAAATAAATTAATCTAGTTTGTACAATAGATTAAAAATGTTCTATTAATGTGAATAGACAATAAATACTGTACTACTGAGTAATCTGAGAAAGTATGACATTTCACATGAACTGTAAAACTAACATTTGCTTGGGCTTAGGATTTATCTTATTCTAAAAATGATATTTTGTTGCTTCCCTGAAAACAATATTCTTCATTTAAATATAATGTACATATTCTGGAACAATAGCAGGGACTGTCAATTTTAGTTTGCAGTTTTTTAAATCAGCAAGTATTGTAGCAAATATAATTACCAAAATTAAAATTTATAAATCTCATCTATATGATCATCTAAGCATAAAAGTTTCTAGATCATCAGTTTATTCATATATTGCAACATAAGTTAATATACTCTTGGTCAAAACAACTTACATTATATAATACATAATTTAGTTTTTTTCTGGTTAATTAAACTTAGTTGGAAGCAAAACAAAGTGTTTTAGAATCATCTACCTATTGATAGTTTTCCCTGTGAATTTGCATACACACACACACACACACACACACACACAACCATTTGGGAAAATATCGCAAAATCGAACAAGAATTGGAACCAAAGTGACATGGAGCAAAATAGCCATGGGTTGACTTATTCCAGAGAAACCCTCTGTTCACTAAGTGGCTTATTACCACCAGGATAGAGCAGAGAAGTGTTGCCGATTGTGAACAACACACACCCTGTAGTTGAGAAGTAGCAGATAAAAATCCCAGTCCTGTGGCAGCCAGGCAGAACGTGCTAGAGAGCAGCTTCCAGGCTTGGATTAAGGCAGTGGCCACCTTCCATCATAACCAAAGAGCTTGGATTTCCTGGAGCCATCTCATCCAGTTTCTTCAGTCACCTACAATTGTATTCACTTCCAACACACAGAAGCAATCCTCTGCAATTAAGAGTAATTCTTGTAATTTGAACCTATGCAGTTAGCAATGAAGCACTGAAGATACAGCAGGGCCCCTATACGATGGTGGTGTGACCAACGGAGATGTTCCTAGATGAATCACTTCTAGAACGTTAGGCTCTGCTCTTCTGTTAGCAGCTTGAGGTGGACTCTCCTAAGGAGTAGCTCTCATGATACCATGTTGTAGTTTGGCGCTTTAAGTGATATCACTAGAGGGAATGAACGACTGTCAGTGTAGGGTTTGGGGAGGGGGGACTGGAGCTGCCAGATGGGTTTCTCCTAGATGAAGTGGCAAGTTAGTAGCAGAAATGCCCATCAAATTCTATGCGGAAAAATCTGGATGTGGCTACCATGCTCTGCTGCCAATAAGCTAAAGGACACTTCATTACACCTAGACGTTCTTGAACAACCTTGATGTTACGCAGCACTTTCAAAACGAGAAGCTAAAAGGCAAAGATGGTGGCAACACCAGCGGTCTGACTCAGGGTCCTGTGCTCCACAGAACGTGGTCTGCCCAGGTGATAATGTACAGGGCATGTAAGTCACAGCTATCTGGTGGTACCTCGAGAGATATTGTTGCATATTGAACTAACTAAAATTTTCTCTCCCTAGTTATGCCATTGTCTAGTCTGTTGCAGGACTTCAATTAAGAGAAAAGATAGGATTTTTAAGGAATCATTTTTTAAAGTCATGAATAGAGAACTACCTTTTTACTTTGACCAACAAGTATATGAAAATATGTTCAACATCGCTAGCCATCAGGAAAATTCAAATCAAAACCACAATGAAGTATTACCTCACATTCATCTGGATGGTGAGTAAAAATAAATAAACAAATGTTGGAGAGGACGTGGAGAAATTGAAACCCTTGTGCCCTACTGGTGGGATGGTAAAATAGTGCATCTGCTATGAAAAACCACATGGAGTTTTCTCAAAACGTTAAAAAAAAAATGTAACCTCCATGTGATCCAGCAATCTCAGTTCTGATTTTATCCAAAAGAATTTTTAAAAAGGATCTTGAAGACGTATTTGTCCTCATGTTCATAGCAGCGTTGTTCACAAGTGTCAAGGGGTAGAAGCAATCTAAATGTCCATTGACGAGCAAATAAAAAAAGTGGTACACACATACAATGAAGCTTCATTCAACCTTAAAAAAGGAAATGTTACAACTCAAAATGAACCTTGAGGACATTATGCTAGGTGACATCAGCCAGTCACAAAAAGACAACTACTATATGATTGCACATAATATAAACCTAAAGTAGTCAAATTCATGGGAACAGAAAGTATAATAGAATGATTGGGGGGGGGGAGGCTGCGGAGAGGGGTGAAAACAGGAATTGTTTAATGGGTGTTGTTTTGCAAGATAAGAAAGTTCTGGAGCTGTATTGCGCAATGTGACTATATAACACTACTGAACTTTGAAAATGGTTAAGATGGTACGTTTTATTTTTTAACCACAAATTTTTTAAAAATCTTAGTTTCATTAAGCATTACCTCAGGAATTTTGTAAGAAATTCATTTCTGACACGAGACTTCGAGGTGAGGGCAGAAACCTTTCCTGCCGCCAGGCGGGAGCAGCGGCCCGGTGGTGCCACCCACCGGGGTGCCCTGAGAGCAGGGCCTGGGCTCACGCTTACACAGGGTGAGATGGGACCTGAAGGGGGCGCTGCCGCACCCACAGCTGCCAAGTTGCAGCACAGGGATCCACGTCAGGTAAGCTCTGAACGTGGGAAGAGACTAACAGCTGAGCAAGCCCGAGGCGGACTCGGCATTCCCGCTGGGTAAGGGCACAAAAGGCCGGGCTGCTTTTTACTGGTGGAAGGGAACCTACGATTTAAGATCCCCTTTCTGGGATGTAAGGACAAGGGTTATTTATTAGTGACAGATTTATTAAATTCTTGGAAAACAAAGGGGGAAAGAATGAAGAGAGGGCAACACCGTTAGGCCAGGGGCCAGGGATTGGGGGCCGGGCCTGCGCACCAAACCCCACCTCCCCTTTTAATTTCCTCAAGCAGATTCAAAACGAAGTGAAGCTGATTCTCAGTGCATTGTAAGCCTTCTTTATTTACAGCATAAGTTTTCAAAAGGTCAAGGCAGTTTTCTTTCTTAAATAACATGTCCATCATATAAAACAGCTGGAACCAAAGTAGAGAAATATATACAATATAATACATTGAGTATTTTCAATATTGTTAATTGAATTTTTCACACTAAATTAAAAGAGGCTATTATGATTTACAATATCATTTCTCTAGTTAAAATTAAACCTGTTAAAAGACATAATGTACATTTTTTTACAAAAACCAGCACAGAAGCATTAATAAAAATGCTCATGACTGTAATTTTAATATTTCTATAATACATTGCACCTGTGTTACAAAAACAAACAAAAAAAGGCATTGCACTAGATGCTGTGAATACTGCATAAGTCAGTACGTTCCTGGGGAATACTGGATGGCCTGACTGATCTATTTCTCCATCAGGCTCCTTTGCAATAGTTTCCACTCTATTAGCTAAGCAAAGTTTCTACAAGTCGGTACTTTCCGTGGCAGTTTTCTACAAGTGCACTGCTAAGGGGTAAAATGACAAGGAGAAATTTATGCCACAAAAACCAATCCAACTCTACTATTTACACTATCCAATAAAAGCCACAACTAGAAAACTACTCACTGCTGGATATAGGAAAAAAAAATTGTAACCAGGACATTTTATAGGAAAGTTTGAATATCTATTAATTTAAAATAGTCAATCGACTACAAAAGGGTTTGCAACAGCTTAATCCCCTTATTTTTCTCAGGGTTGGGTAAGAAAAAAGTAAATCCTTTTTTTTTTTTTAATAAAGTTTTGATGGCATCAAAAAGCTTCACATTTACAAATAAGATTTTTACACAATGCAATGTTTATATAGTTTTCTTGTACTACTGGCAATTATTCTCAGGATTCATATTTTACTCTAAGGAAGAAAGTATTAAGATTTCTTCCTTATTCTTAACTTGTCAGCATTAATACTCTCCAGGCCTCCAAAGGGAATTCGAGAGAGGTAAAGTCACTCAGTGCTTAACACCGAGTAGCACAATATTTGAAGTACCTCATATATATGGGTGGCCTAAACAAGAGCAGTAAGGGGCCAGCGATACAGTTCTACCACTCAGAACAAATTCCATTTTATATTTCCCCTTTCTTAAGACAGTTTTAAAAGGACAGATCACCCTTGCAACGCAGCAAGTATTGCTTCAGGTTATATTATATTGGAATTTTTTTAGCCACAAAAGTATCTAAGAGGCAGGAGTATTTAAAAAAAAAAAGTTCTTCAAGTCACGGACAAGGAAAACAAAATAAAAAAGACATTATTATTATTGTCTGGAGCTATTCCAATGGAGGATCCAAGCCACACATACCTGATTATAACCAGGGGAAGATACTTCCTACAGTGTGTTCATGACTGGGGGTGCAGGAAATGGACAGGAAAAATAAACCAAAGTATCTTGACAGAAAAAATGAACAGTGAGACAAAATAGTGTTTGCATTCAAAATGAGATGCAAAACCCATCGTTCCTGGGCACATAAGAAGTTAATGACGTTCCACATATTTTTCACTCCTGTACAACTCCTTTACTAGTCTTTGATATCAAAACTGAAATCACCAGTGTTTTGTATGTTTTCAAAAGGCACACCACATTTAAAAAAAAAGCTTATCATCAGATCAGTCGTAAGTCCTTGGTCATGTTGTCTAGTTCACAGCAAGCCACGTTTCTAATAAGCACCATACACCAAAGTAATGCTTTCATTCTCAACAAACTTGCCAAAATGTTCCTATTTCATGTATATAGTCTCTGTAACTGCAATGTATCCAGATTTATTATTATTATTATTATTATTATGGGAACGTTACAAAAGAAATGTGCTATTATAGGAAGTCTGGAAAGAGTAGAACTCTTACGACTTCATAAATTCCCAAATTATCCTTGTTATGGAAGGAAGCCAAGAGGAAATATTCAGTTACGTGAGTACGCTTCGTTAGTACGCTTAGTACTTCGGATCACCTTTTAAACAGCCACTCTATGAAACAAGAGGTCCCTTACTAAGGCTATTTTATATTTTACCATTTCTCAATAGTCAGGACTGGCCTAGAAACTGGTGCAGAAAGTTAAGAAACAGGGATATCCAGACTGGAAACTTTCTAATTTTATAGATATCACTTAACTTGCTGGTTATAGTGAAAAAGACACTTAACCACTACAAGAAACAAGCAAGTGCTTCCCTCTCACCCAATTTCTTGGATCGGGCCTATTTTTTTACATTATATATATTTTTTTACATGAAAAAGAAAATCCTTCATTAATCCTTCTCCCTTTGGGGATTCAGTCATTGTAGACTCATTTACTGATGTTTCCCTGAAAGTGGAGGGAAAAAACCTGGAGTAAGAGCATGTACAGATAAGGGCAGTTTAGCATATTAGTTGCACAAAACTTGTAAACAAGCTTAAAAAGTAGCTAGCCTCCTGTCATCCACAGAGAAGTAAAAACAGAACCTGAAAAACATCAAACATACTGGAAAATAGGGCAAGATACACAAAATACCAGGATTCCCAATATAAGTCAAAGTCCTCGGTAAAACAAGAAGATTGTATCAATCGATTTAACTGGCCATTAACAGAATAATTCAGGATTTTTCAAAGGTTTCAGAAATTCTGATAATAGGCAGCATTAAACTGTTACATAAGAAGCAACAACAAAAAGAAATTCACCAGCTCTACAAATGCTCTGTAAGTCAAGAATGTGTCAAATGTGATGCCAAGAGAGTCACAATCTATGAGACATTTTCTTAACATTGTTAGCACATATGACAACCCATTTTCCCCCTATCTCCTCGTCTCTAACCACACATTTGACCTTAGCCCTTGAAATGTGTCTATATTCAAGCTCAAGTGAAAAAATGTGCATGCAACTTTCCAGCCTAGGAACAGCCACTCTGTAGGTATCAAAAACCAAAGTGCACATCCATCGAGTTTTAACCCTTCGGTTATAGACATCCTGCCACAGAACTGATAGGCCCTGGGAACAGTGGTGAATGTGATGAAGAAGTAAAACATGGAGCTTATTTTTGGTCCTTTGTTCCAGCCTCATTTCCTTCACGGTTCATTTCAAACTAACAGCTTCATTTCAGCAGTTCACACCTAAGCCTGTCCAGTGGTCTGGTACCATCAGGAAATACTTGTCCATTGCTTCACAAAATCTAGTCCTGTACAACTCTGGAGAGACCACAGTTGGCATTTTACCTAAGATTATGAAAGAGAAAAGAAAGCTATTACATAAATGATCAGGCAACTGACTTCAACAACTATGTTCTTTCATGTCAACTGCCAGAAAGACACACATACCCCAGCAGTCTCAGAAAGGAGGTACGGGTGTTGTTCACTGCGCCACATGACATGGGACAGGTTCTTCCTGGTAGGAGTTTCTATTTTAAAAGACTAGCTCTTGCCTGGAGATGAGAGATAACCTCTGGCCTTTTTTTTTTTTTTTTTTAACTTTTCATTTTGAGAACCTCTGGCATTTTAACACAAATTTAAACCCAATATTTCCCCACCTAATCAACTCCCTTTATTATTTGATCATTTTGGAAATGATAAATAAGAGACACCAACTGATAAGGTAAACATGAGAACAGTTTAAAGAGTAAACAAAACGAAAATTCTGCTCACCTTGGCCTCCTAAAATTCCTGTTGATTTCACAACCATCTCAAGTTTTTTGTCCCATGTAAATGTTCGAATGTAATCTATTGCAGGGAGCAATATTAGCAGTCAAGTTATGTTAATAAATATAAGCAAATGACAACAGTAACTACTATTACTATTACTCCTAAAATAGTTCATGTTTACTGACTGTTGACAATATGCCAGGTTGTCTTAAGGTTTTTTTTTCCCCCCATATTACTTTAATCCTCACAACAACCTAACAAGGGCTTCATTTATAAGTGACTTTTGAATGCAGATATTTTTGGTCAAGATAATGAAAATGGAAATGATCAAACTACTTAGAGGGTATTAGAATTTTAAAACTATGACTTTTGCATTTTCAAATGAAAGTTGATGAAAATATTCAATAAGCTATCACTAGACCAGGTTCAGTATGACCTTGAAATTTCACTCTGTTCTCAATCACGAACATGAACTATAATAAGCAAGGTATGCTACTGACTTACCTATAATTCCAACTACCAGCTCATTGCTGGTATCATCTCGTCCAACCAGCAAAGAATAATCTATAATGAGGTGGCTAGAAAGGAAGTGGGAGTCGCTGCGAATCGAGGCTCTCAGCACAGCTTTGGAATGAGAACGGATATACAGAGGATTGTCTCGAACCATCTTTAAGAGATTTTCATCCAGCAGGACTACATCACAACTCTCTTTCCCGGTATCAGTTTTTACATTTCTATTCCTAAGTGAACCCTTCAGATCAAAAACCTAGCAGAAAGAAAAATTCTCTGTCATTTTTGTTAGTTGCTACAAATGATTAATTAATTAAACTAAAAAGGCAGAAAGTTCCCCTCTAGCTACTATCATTATATACACTTTTAAATTTAATTTAAAAACTTAATCATAACTTATATAACGTAAGTTATTAAATGCATGCATAATTGTATAATACATAAAATAGGTAGTGATATAACTGTATCAAATGAAATACCAAGTACTCGTTACTGAAACATTTCGAAATAACTGACCCATTTAATCATCTTTAAAAAACATTATCAAGTAACTCCAAATATAGATCACTGGATTAGAAAGCAGTTTAAAAATCAGATGCAGGGCTGGCCGAGTGGCTCAGTTGGTTAAAAGCTCACTCAAGAGTGCAAGCTCAGAGCAACAGGGTCTCCAGTTCGATTCCCGGCCCAAGCTGAGCTGCCCACAGGTGGCAGGATGGCTCAGCTAAAAAAAAACAAAACAAAGCCAGATGCAAATAGTCTTAGGAAACTTAAAAGTTTTGATACCAAAACTCTGTAATTACTATCGCAGCCTAGAAGCAACAGTGTATCTCTAGGAATTTGGGGATGGTAGCAAAAGCAACACACTCAAAGGTCAGGGGACTTGGGCATTAGACCAGTGCAACCCAAAGTGTATTTAACAGGCCACCGCTAGTCAGTTGTTCCTGGCTCATGATGACATACAAAGCTAGTGCCAGAATGCAAATCAATTATGTCTTTCAGCACACTGTTTAGTTCAGCTGATGGTTTTCCCATAGCAAGACATTCTCAATGAAGAAGCAGTGTGTTGAAGTACATTCTAGTACACATTCCTTATCTCACCACATTCTAGAAACAATTCAAGGACCAGCACTTTAAAGAGTACTGTTCTAGAATGTAGACCAACCTGAGTTCTAGGCATAACTTTGTGACTGTCATAAAGTACTTAATTTCTCTGGGTTTTAGTTTCTTCATTTTTAAAACTGAGAGGTGGAAGTATATCTGCCTTCTAATTCTATAATTCTGTGTTTCTAAGATACTAAATATGTTAAATTTTAGGACCAGTCCACAATATTCCTATTTATTCTTTCCTACAGAGTTCAACTAGTGAAAAGTTCAATTTGGCCTAGTAATCAAAGTTTAACATTTACCATCAAAGAAGATGTTATTCTCTAATTTATTACATTCAGGAACCACAAGTACCAAGGGTTCTAGCAGCTAAATGCTTCGTACAGTCCAATAGCTTTACCTGAGCCATCTTTCTCCCATAGAAAAGGTTTTCCATGACAAGGAGATCTAACTTCTTCTCAGTGTTGTTCTGAGAATTCTTATAACCAATTCTGTAAACTCCAAGAATTTTGGCCAATGCAGTGGGTCTCTAAATCAAGAAAAGATAAAAGTTAACTGTTATCAAAAAGGATTATTTATAACTTAATACCAATATCTGGATTATTCATGTAATATCCAAACAGGATTTTCTATGAATATGACCAGTCAGAGGACCTTGAAAGAAACTTAAGCTCTTGAATCTCAAGAGCAAGTAGCAGCAATGCCAATAAAACCTTAGATCCTCAACATTCTCACAACTGCTCAAATTCATGCATGTTATTAGGTCATAGGATTTCCCCTCTCCAATAACATGAAATAAATCATAAATGAAAAAAAAAAATCCATGTGACTCCCTCATCCACTCAGTGACAAGTGGGCAGACCTGGGCCACTGGCTCCTCTCTTCCTGCCTAAGGGACCCACGCCCTCATTTCTCAATATTTCAAATGTCTGTCTCAGCAAATTACAAATCACTAAATGGGCAGCTCTTTTCATTCGGTCTTAGTGTTTTTAATTGATTTTTATACATATACTAATTGAATGCCACTTGCTCGAGATCTCTTGGTTCCTCACTGGCAAAGGCAGGAAAGAGTCTGAAATCACTGCACTTGATCCCACGTCAGCTGCATAACAGAGATCTAGTCGTGTTCAGACCTTAGCACGAAGAAAACTGCCATCGGGACGCTCTCTCAGGTTGTGACAAAGCCCAGGAAACTGATTATAGATCAAGGTTTGGAGCTCCTACCTTTTGCTGAACAGCATTTGTAATATAATTGAAGTAGTGTGGTGCAAAGTCGAGGAAAGACTGGACTTCCAGACGAGGCATTTGCTTCAAAATGAACCGATCATCTACAAGGCAGAAGTGTCACGTGTTTATTCAACCACAGTATTTACTGAGGTAACCTATAATAAATCATTCCAAAGATCCCAAATGATTTGTTTGCTTCAGGTTTTTAAGAAATATTTTCTGGGGGCCAGCCAAGTGGCTCAGTTGGGAGCGCGAGCTCTGAGCAACAGGGTCGCCAGTTCAATTTCCACATGGGCCAGTGAGCTGAGCTGCCAACAGGCGACAGGACGGCCCAGCTGGTGAGAGCAAGTGCTCCTAACAACATGGTTGCTGGTTCGACTCCCGCATGGGATGGTGGCTATGCCCACCTGCAACTAAGATTGAACACTGCACCTTGAGCTGAGCTGCCGACGAGCAGCCGGATGGAGACTGGACTTGGAGCTGAGCTATTGGGTTGTCGCAAAAGTCATGACACATTTTTGGAATGAAAAACATAGAAAAAATACATCATGACTTTTCCGACAACCCAATAGCTGCGCCCTCCACATCTAAGACTGAAGGACAACAACTTGGCTATTCCCCTTCCCCAATTCCCCAACACTGTTCCCCTTCCCCAAATTCCCCAATTAAAAAACAAACAAAAAAACAAAAAAAGATATTTTCTGATGTCACAGAGAAAACCCTGATCAGAACATAGTTCTCAAGTAATTCAACAGTTGGAAGGGCTTCTAAGGACTTACATAGTCAAGAAGCCTCTATTTTTTACAGTAAGTACCACCCCTAAATTCATAGCTAGATGACCTACTTTTTAAATCTAGTAACTAAAATTTTATAAACTCCTCTGTTAGCAATTCAGTAAGTAAAAGTTATGAAAGTTCTTATCAAGCAACATCCTTCCTGCTGCATTATCTCAAATAATTTTGCTTTCAGTGTGTATGGAGAATGAAATGTAAAGCACACATGGTCACGATCTTCTGTAAACCTTAGTAAGTTAGGAACTTGACCTTCCTATTATTTTCAAGCCAAATATTTCTGTTTTTATCTTTCTCTCATCAGCTCTGAGGTACCCTTTCGAGTTTTCAAGAAGTTCTTGTTACTAATTACATTTGGAAAACTCTGGACTAAAAAATATTTAATAAGAATATGATCAATGTTTGACTTTAATTACATACCATACATATATGTATATTCTTTTAAATATTTTATGACATTGCATAAAACACAAATGTAAAAACAAAAAAGAGAAAACTCTGTTTGCCTATGGACAGTATCATACTACCTCAGTTCCAGTCATTCATAAATTATCTGAGGGAAAAAGAGGGGTGCTACTTAATTATCAAATCATTAAAATGACTTAAACCTTCAGTCGCATAGAAGGCAGCTCCTGATTTGCCTCCTCGGGCCTGCCAGGGTGACGAGTGGGAAAGGGAACAAATGAAATCTTCTTCACTGCTGCCCAAAATCACTTCCCGCATCTTGTGAAACTCTCCCGCATAGTAGAGCCGACAGTAAAATTTGGCATTGGCATCAGAAAATTCTATACAGAGAAGTGTTAAAACAAAAAAGCTTTTATGGATCAGAAATATCTTTTTCCTCTTGCCCTCTTCCCCACTCCCACCAAATGCAACCATTTAATTTTCTCCATGATAGCGTTTTTCATGTTAAGTCTACTACATCTCTAATCATCACAATTCTGTTAAAATTATCTTCAGGGAGGATTAAAGAGCATCTGATGACCACCCTTACATATTTACGAAAAAAAGCAAACACAATATAAGACCCATTTCTCATTCTATACCTGTTATGTATTTTCACTACTTTTACATCTTAAATTTCATTGTATATATTATTCTGGATGATAAGTTTTTGGCACCCACATAGATACACACAATTCTAGATGCCTTGTCAAGGCTCTGTGGCTCTAGATTACACAATAAATAATTAATTAAACATTAGAAATTAAATCAAATTATAATTTATAAATCAAATTTTAACTTCAATTAAATTTATAAGTTAACTTTCTTTATAAATGAATAATGTATATTTTATAAACTACATCTAGATTAAATAAAACTTATGTCGGCACACACACTTAATGTTTATTTCAAGAAAGAGGATGTTTATCTAGTATGAAGCTAGAAGCCACAAGTGAGTTAGCTCAATATTAATCCCTGTCCCTAAACCAACAAGATTTTTATCTCATACTTACGAAGCTCCACGTGAGGGTTTGTGAGTTGTTTCTTTTGTGTATCTCCTCCATCTACTTCATCTAAAAGGTTTAATATCAGTAGTAAAGCCAAAGTTTTAAACAGTTATCATGTCATTTTCCCTGTTCTTTTTTTCCCCTAACATCACAGTAAAAACTAACAAGTCAATTCTTTATCATAGTCAAGTCACTTTAAGCAAGTATTATGTATTTAATTAAGCCGTATAAACTATCACCATAAAAATGTGTGTACCTTTTGAAAAATCAATTTTTAGATTAAAAAATAGAGAATTTAGGTTAAAGAATAATTTTCCTTATAGTTAAAAGATTCCTGTGGTAGCAACACACTAACTCAGTTCTTATATCAAGAGTTTCCATGGCTTCTTTCTCAGAGTCTCTGAGCAGTTTCCCCATGTGCGGAATAATGCTACCCCAATGGTTCGCAAGGCTTTCTTTATCATACACTAAGATGTTTATATCATATGTAAACTAGACTAGTGTCTACTTCAGAGCTACTTTTTTTTTTAATTTGACTGATTTGTCTGACAAGACTACTGCCATATGCACTCTAATTATTGTAGATTTGAGTACTTTCTAATTATCTAGGAGAACAAGCCATCCTCCAAGTTTCACATTTCAAAATCATTTTTTTGGAAGCACCAATGCCTTCCAAGGACAACAGCCCAGTAGCAGCCTACAGAATACTAGACAAATATCTGATTACTAATGAAAATGTATCATGAAGTTGCGTTTTTAAAAAATAAATTACTAATTCATGATGTAACTCAGGGGTTGCCAACCTATTTCTGTAAAGGACCAGAGGTTAAGTATTTTAACTCAGTCACCATTATTCAACTTGCCAATATAACACAAAAGCAGCCAGTAAGGAAATGAATGGCTGCGCCTGTGTTCCAGCACAACTTTATTTACAAAAACAGGGCAGCATAGTTTGCTGACTCCTGGTCTACCCCTATACTCAAACGCAATCAGGCAGATTTAAATATCAGAATGAAGGTGCATATCAATAGTCTCAACCTCACAGGGACTAGAAAAGAAAGAAAACATCTGAGGGTGCAGAGGAAGAAAAATATTTGCATATACACTGTGAGTTACACGGTGAGACAAGTAATTTACATGTGTAATGTCACTTAGTCCTTGAAAGACATTGCTTTTGCCACTTTACAGGTATGGGTACTAAGGCTTTCTGATTCTCCCACAGTAAGTGACAGGAATGACATGTGACACCAACTGGACTCTGCGAGTGCCATGCTTTCTCCACTTGACCACACTGAGATGTGAGAGGCCCTGGTTTCAGCACTAAGAATTACCTACTTAAGGCTTCAGGGAACACAAGCAACTCAAACAGGCCAATCAAAGCCCAGGAGAAGCACAACGGTACCCTTTAACGCACCTTGAGGCTCATTGCCTTGGTTCTCCGTGCCCTCCTTGCCCGTCGGCCCAACCTGGTAGTAAGCACTGTCCGCTCCGCGTAGGGTCTCTCTCTTCTGGGAAGACAGATCAGGGCTTTTCCCTGCTGTCCCTCGGAAGAAGGACAACATCCCGGAAGCCTTTTTGGCTATAAAAAAGAGGCAACATATTAAGTACAGGTCACTGTAGGTGGAAAAATTAAAATTTTCAACTCATTCCTTTGTTAGCAGTAACCGTTTTATGAGGGTAGTAAATACGAGTAACACTGACACTTCCGTGTGCATAGATTATTATTCCACAGGTTTTATGGGGTTTTGGGAGGGGGCAGTCAAGCATTCTTATTTACCAGAAACAAAAAAAGAACAATCATCTGATAGTTACATATAAAAATGTGAGAAATTCTATATAAAACCTTTGAAAAATATCTTTCCAAGATGGTCATAACATTTTAAGCAACAAGATGAAGTTAGGGCTGAATTCTTATAGTATTACAATTAACTAAACTATACAAAACATTACAAGCTACGAGAATTCAAAGTTAAAGGTAACATATCTTTATATCATTTGTGTTCTTACATTTTAGTACAGCAAAATATAAGATTTTGTTTTTAACATGCTCCAGAAAGTAGTACAGGACAGCCAAAAACATTACTGAAGCTTGCTCTATACTTTATTCTTGGTTTTGAGCTTACTATGTGTGATCGATGTATGATCTGTGAGCTTAGGATATATGATTCTGATCTTGTACATTTACCACCTACAAAATGCATGTCAAATGTTAATCATAAAGTGCTTACTTAAGGTACCGGGCACCATTCTGGCCTTTTACTTGTTCCTTGCTAACAGAAATCAAAATTTGGGGCAGGGGGTGGGGTGGGGGGGCATGTGTACAGCCCCAGGAAATGACTCATGTAAGCCAGCCAGGGCAATGCTGCTCACCACTTTCTGTCTCCTTTCCAGGAAGCAGTGGCCATGAGACTCAGCTCTAACTATCAGAGATTAAAGGGAAATCTCTACTTTCCTAATAAAAGGGAACAGCTGCAGCTTATACCACCTCCCTTCTTTCTTCCTCAAATGTAGACATTAAGTGGAATATTTCTGACCATGAGTAAAACTTAAGAGAATCATAAAAAAAAACCCTATGTTGTCATGACAATGCTGAGTAGCTGAACCACCACTGACATTACTTTAGAAAAATAAACTGTCTTTTGTTTAAGCCGCAATAGCCATGAGTTTGCTATTACTTGCAGTGAATACATTCCCAGCTGACAAAGGCCCAAGTTCAAATCCAGGGTCCTCCACTACCTGTATAATCTTGAGCAAATTCTTTCATCTAAGTCTAAACGTTCTTTCTGAAAAATGGGGATATGTTAAATAACCCTTATGTGGTTATTGTGGAGATTAAAGAGATATTACATAAGAAGTTCTTTTCACAATGCCAACAACAAAAAAAGAGTTGCTGTTGTATTTCTCAGGTTGTACACTTTGAACCGAAAGCTCTAGCTGGGAAGGCAGATCCTGCTTCTTTTGCGTAGACCTGTGAGTTCCTAGGAATTGCAAATTCAATAAACTTAGGAATCAAAGAAAAGCAAAATATGTATAAAAGAGAATATACAAGAAAATTTAAATCCATATTGTATTTCAAAGACCAGAAGTAATCAATCCTTGCCAAAAAGCATTTCTTATTTAATGTGTTTTCTTCTTCAGATCACAATTACAAACAAAACTAACAGTATAATAACTACTTCTCCATTTGTAATCTTACTTGGTTGAGGTTCTGCTTCTGCTGTACGGTTTGTCTGACCTCCACTGCTCTCAGGTAACCTAATAGGGCTGCTACTCTTTGGTCTGCTGTCTAAAGTACTAAAATGAAAAACAACAAAAAAATTGGTTTTAGATTATGAGACAGAAAATAACAAGTACTCTGATTCCTTCATTAATCTACTCCCCACGTACCCCACTCACAATATCATAGGTCTGACTCATAATTATATAAACACAGGTTAGAAAATGGAAGAAAAAGTCTTAAAATGTCTACTGGACTTTAAAAAGCAAAATGGTATAACTATAAATGTGTATGGAAAAATATTATAAAAGCATAAGCTTTTGCTTTTATTATATTTTTCCCAAGTTCATTAGAGCTATAGTAGCATCTATAAATCAAATAATTACAGAAAATACCAATTTCATAATTCTCATGTCATTGTGATATATAATTATATAATTCAGGTAAAATTTTATCACATTAGTAAAATTGGAAAACCTATCTCAATAAAAAACAAAATAATGAGTCTATGACAATTTCTGTCAAAATATCTAGAATACTGAACATACTTAAAGAAATGGTTTTGGGGGCTTGGGTTTTTTTGTTTGTTTTAACTCTTAGAATGTTTCATTATTATGGAAAATTCATAAATATTTTAAATTACAAAGACAAACAGTAAGTACCTTACTAATTTAACAAGTTACTATTTTTTAAATGAAAATAATAAAGACAATTAAAAATGTTGAAAGTTTAAACCTGCAATATACACTAAACTTCTATGGCAATTATCAGAAAACAGTATCTAAAGAAATAGTTTAAGGTCTTTTGCTATACTTGAATTTTGTTCTATCAACTATTGGCTAAAATATAAGTGTGTATCCTAGAAACTTTCATGTTGATAAAACTGAAGTATGGGCATTTAGAAAAACGACACAGCTCAATTAAAATAGATTCTACTCAGTCACAGATCACCTATTGGTTGGAAGTCCTTCTTCGGCATTGGACCGTAGAGTCGCTTTGGACAATTCCTCTAAGGCATTTCGGTATTCTTTACAACTTAGGGTAGAAATAGGTTGAAAGATGTTAAACATTAAACTCTCCTTTTAAAATAAATCATATGCTTTAGATAAGCTTTGCATTATAAAACCACAATCATTGTAAGTATCCATAATTAAACAAATACATTTAATGAACAAAAGTTATCAAGCAGGAACTTCATGAAGAAGGTCAATGTGTTCAGACAGAATAAAAAATACTACCCAACACACCAACCAGAATCAACATCCTAAACAAAGATTGTGAAGGCCTACATACCAACATTTTAGATCAAATACTTTCAGGGGTTGATTTAAAAGTATGAAACAGCAGGGTTTAGTATAATAGGAAAGGAACTTGAGAGAGTGCTTTTCCACTTAAAAGTATTAAATTTTTTTTTTTTATGTTACATTGGTAGAAAAAAAAAAATCCACCTCCTGGACTAGCAGTCTGGAAGCCCTAATTTGGATAAATCAGATATTAGGAAACAAGAGAAGCATCTTAGGGTGTACTGTTTTGGCAAGACATTAGAAAAAGATGAATACTTGCTTCCTAATAGTACAAAATATGTTTTTTGATTTGGTAGACTTTCCTACTTTCTTATATATTAATGTAGTATGACTAAGCAATAAAGAAAGAAGCAAATACTATCTTCATTAAGGCCAAAAGGCAATGATAAAAAATCCTTCATATGAAATCTTCTAAAGGAAGAAAAGTCCTCATTATCCAAACAGTAAACTCTAAACTCCATAAACGCTGAGGCATATAAATCTATCTTGTTTACCTGTGTACATCCAATACCTTAGACTATACCACATATTGTAGAATATTCAAGTATTTACTGAATAAGTATACTCTTTGTAATCAATATATAAAAATATCAAAATTTCAATGCCTTGCAATACAAAAAATTAAACGTCTTAGAGTCTACTTAAACTAGGTTCTGCCACTGCCAAGATACCGTTAAGATTAAAAAGCTCTGTTCTTTTAGAGATAACGTATAAATAATTCTAAAGAGGGATGCTTCTTTAAGACACATGATTAACTGTGGCATAAAAACGGGCTGAGGCACAGAAACAGCATTACTCTAAGTCAGAAAACTACCTGCTATGTGTGAGAAGCAAGAAGGAAATGAATGCAGAGTACAGAAATTCACATGATATACAGCAGATACGTTGTAAAAATTGTGTCAGTAAAAAATCGAAGGAAGGAATACAATGGTACATACCATAATAGAGAGGAAGAAGGGTTAGAGGATATAAGGACCAGTAAAGAACTTGCCTGGCTAGTTTAGTTATTAGGAGCTTGCGTAAGAATCATCCTGTAATTATGTGGGTAAAGAGTATATTTTCTGACAGAAACAGAATAAGCTATCATGCCCAAAGAGCATATGTTTTTACTTATATTTAATCATTTTGCTCTGTTCTAGGTGACAGATCTCAACAATAAGGCAATTAATAAGTATACATACAATATAGAACTATAACCACATACATACAGTATAGAACTATAACCACAGGTGGAAAGCCCCATGAATAATACCTGAGAGCAAAGGCTATGATGGAGCTGGGTTCCTTCTCGCAGACTGCAATGGGCACCCGTTCATGTTCATGCATTAAGTAGTGTTTATCTGGATCACTGCTCAGAATTTATAAGTACATAAATAAACAGGAACAAAATTAGCAACAAGTCACATATACAAAACATGAATATACTGCAAATACATCTTAGGACAATCTTAAGTTAACTACATACTGCACAATTATAAGAATATATTATAATTAAGTAAGCCAAAATGTATGCAGAACTTGAACCAAAGAGCCAACAAAAATAATCCAACAGAAAGTTTTTGAAGGCAATTGAAAATTATGAGAATTAGTTTTCCAGTCAGAAGGTTCTGGAATAGTTACTCCAAATAAAGCTTTCCACACTGCCAAGACATTAGGCCATATTCGTCTCAAAAGGGATTTATGTAAGTGTAAAAGATTTTGCTCTACTATAAGCTTGAAAGAAAAGTCTTCTAGAAATTGTGGAAATGTGCTACTAGTCTAATAAGAAAGAACATAGCACAGCCACTCTCCTGTCATCACATGGAAACTCAATGGTGTGACTCCATTTTAACCCAAATCTTGCTCCTCCAACCTTGAACTTAAACTCCCAAGGGAACCATTCATTCGTGTAACAGCTATTTACTGAGCAAAACTATTACTAAGCACCTGACATGTGTAAGATGGTAACAATACAATATTGGAAAAAAAATAGGCATGGTAGAATGTACAGGATAGTGGGGTAAAAAAACAAATAATCCTACAAATAAATATAATTACCTTCTGTGATAAGTGCCCTGAGGGAATCATGAGAGAACATATAACAGATGTAATCTGGCTGGGACAAGGAGCTGAGGGGTGGGTCTAGTCAAGTGCTCCTGAGAAACACTGCTAGGAGGTTAATGACTAAGAAGAAAGCCAGCACATGTACAATGGCCATAGAACAAGAGGGACAATAACCAATCAAGAAACTAAGATAGTCAAGTCTGAAGCAGAGAAAGCAAGGACCTTTGCATACGATTATCACGGTATGTAAGACTACTGTATCGTGAGTCTTTATTTGTCTCCTTCCCAACACTGTGAGCTCCCAAGAGCAGGGATTTCTCCTTATTAATCTTTTTCTACATCCTGGGGCACTAGAGCTGGCAATCAATAAGTTTAAATATTGACTGAATAAATAAATGCATAAATCATATAAGAACAAAGTCCTTATTAACAAATGTCCACCTTTTGGATACACTTGTACCAATGTAACAAGAGCGGCCAGGAGAGAAACACACTCTCACAGCCAGCTTATATTTTTTTCCCACTCTAAGCGAGCCCAATATAAACAAGTTCACATAAACACTTGTAGGAGTCATTGTAATTCATCACCCCTGTTAGAAAAGTTCCATGTCCCAATTAATTACTGGATCAGTAATATTATCCTCATATACAATCAGCAATAAATTTTTAGGATTCTGAGATCAACAAATGTAGCAGTATATCTTCAAAAAAATGTATACATATATATATATATATATATATATATAGTTATTTTATATATACAATTATTTTCAGAACCAGTAATCTTAAGCATTAAACACATTAGTTAATGCTTTTTTTCATCCATTTATATAACAATGACTACATGTTCCACAGATTACATTATACCAAAAGACATCTCTTTTACTATGATGAAGTGTAATTTAGGATTGAGAAATACCCACATACAGTTAAACAAACATATTTAAATACGTAGGGAGTAAATCTATACAGACATTTCTTTAATTCAGTAAAAATAAAATCACGCAACAACCACTGGCTTTTTGTAATACTTACAAAGGAAATGGAATAGGGTTATAGCTATTTCCTGGAAGGAAATTTGCAAAGATGGCTTTCATGGTTGATTTCTCCTTCACCTGGCTGTCTGTGGATCCCAGCAAATGTCCGTCAAACACATCTAGGATAAAAAATACTCTACTTATATGATTATATTAAGGAAGAGTAAAAAAAGATATAAAGCGTCAATTTTATTTCTTTTCCTTTTCGGAACACAGGTATATACACACAATAATTACCAATTGTGCTGTGAAATTTCTGAACTAGCAATGACTGTTATAGGCCAAAACAGGAAGCAACAGTGAAGCATATATTGCACTGACTCCAAAAGGTTCATTTTTTTACACTTCAACATGTCTGAAATTGAGATCATCTTACTGTCGATGGCAGAGGCCAGGCAGTAGCCATGATGGAATTACTGCTGACCGTGCATGAATTTAGTCACAGTTGTCCAAGTTACCACTTCCACTCAATTATGTGCACTGGGCCTAGGACATCTGAGTTTAATTGCAATTTATAAGTTATTTTTAAAGTCTGTACAATTAAGTAGTTACTGTTTAACAGAAAGCAAGGAAAGAGAGAAGCAAGGCATAAATTTGCTATTAATGAAACACACATTTGATGTTGGAGAAATGCCTGTAATTACTCTTATTTTCTTACAAAGCAACAATCGTGCTTCACGGGACTTAACAAAAGTAATATTCCACAGAAATTAGATGAAGCTGAATAACATTCTATTACTGAGACATTTACCTGTCAAATAGTGCAACTGGACAAGTGATATGATAAGAACATATACCTAAAAGAGCACTTTCAATATGTATAAAATTTTAAAATTCCAAGGGATAAGAAAACATTGTGTCAAAGCATTCAGAGAGCTTTTCTCTTTTGGATGAAGGACAGACAGTAAAAGCGACGAACTGCACCTTCGGAAATGCCGGCTGTGTCTAGTTCAGAGGGCCCTCCCCCCAGCTGCTCAGGCATGACCTCAGGTGGAGAAGGCAGCTGGAGGTGGGCAGAGCTGGTGGAGCTCTGACTGGACAAGGCTGTTAAGAAGCGGTCCTCTAAAGAGAAACACAAACTTGGATGAGTCATTTAAAAACATTCAGTCCATTTCTACCTGATAGTAATGTTTTTAAAATGCCAACTCATATTTTACTTCATAAACCAAAGAATGTAGGCGTTCTAAAAATTATTGAGGCCATTTTGGTGCCTATTTTACAAATGGATAGAAAAATCCAGACAGGCTGTATGATTTGGCTATAATCAGACTGGCAACCAAGGCTGACTCCTATCCAGTATCCTTTGCACTAGACCAGAATGCCTACCTAATATTAGATCATTCAATGTAATAGAGAATGCAACGATGACACTATTGAAAAGAAATCACATGCTTTTTCTCAGGCTAAAAATCCATTTAATTATAATAGAAAAATGCCATGAACTCTGAGTTGAGCTTCTGTTCTACAAAGATAGTCTAAGTAAGTTTTCCGATAAACTTTCTAGGATGCCACCAAGTTATTCAATGAAATACTGGGAAAAACAACTAAAGGAGATTTCAGTGACATAAAAATATTAAACTTTGTAAGATTTTTGCAATGAAACCTGGGAGATGACTTTGGAACAAGCGAATAAAAATTCAGTCTCCTTTTTTCTGTTTGTTCTTCCCCCAGCAGCAGCCTCCTCTATTTATTATACAGGATGCTTCAGTATCCTAATTTCTCTTCTGGCAATATACTTTATGATAATCTTAAACTGATAGTACTACAAATGCTCTACAGGAAGGAACAAAAGAAGTCTATGAACAATTACATCAGAAAAAAATTCTCAAAATTAGCAGTCAAAAACAATTACTAGACTAAGAAATTTCTTTAAGTTCAATGGCAGGTGTGTGATCATTGGATGCAAGGACCAACCTTTTTCTCCATTTTGAAGTCCTGGAGAAATATTCCTTGGAGGTGCATCCACTGCACTTATCTGTAGAGAAGAAAATACTTTGTTCTTCAAGTGATTAAAATCACATTAAGGGGCCAGCTGAGTGGTTCAGTTGGTTAAGAGCTGAGATCTGAGCAACAGGGTCGCCAGTTCGATTCCCACATGGGCCAGTGAGCTGCGCTCAAGCTGAGCTGCCAACAGGTGGCAGGATGGCTCAGCTGATGAGAGCATGTGCTCCTAACAACAAGGTTGTCAGTTCGACTACCGCATAGGATGGTGGGCTACGTCTACCTGCGACTAAGATTGAACATAGCACCTTGAGCTGAGCTGCCCTGAGCTGCCGATAGGCGGCCAAATGGCAACTGGACTTGGAGCTGAGCTAGCTGCGCCCTCCATGACTAAGATTGAAGGACAACAACTTGGCTGTTCCTCTTTCCCAATTCCCCAATAAAATCTTAAAATGTTACCAAAACAAACAAACAAAAAAAAAATCACATTAAAAAGTTTAACCAACCAAGTCAATCTTCAGCTTTTTGGTCTCAGGATCCCTACAACCTCTTAAGAATTATTAAGACACTCAGCTTTTATATGGATTGTATCTTCCAATTTTTACCTTATTAGAAATTAAAACTGAGAAAAATTTAGAGTATGCATTTATTAATTCATTTAAAAATAACAATAAACCCATCACATATTAACATAAATAATGTATCTTTTAATTTAAAAAATTGCTATTTTCAAAAAAAATGTTAAAGGAGTGGCATTGTTTTACACTTTTATAAAACCTTAATGTCTAGCTTAATAGATGACATTCTTAATAGATGAGATTCTCCTCTGGCTTCTGCATTTAATCTGTTGAGCTACATTATTATGACTAAAGTATTAAAAAAAAATTCAGCCTCGCATTGATATATAATTGAAAAGGGGGAATCTCATAAAGCCCTTGAAAGGGTCTTGGACCCCCAGGGGTCCTTGAACCACACTCTGAGAATATTGCTCTAAACAGTAGCTCAATTCTTAGTATTAAAGCAATTAGGAACTACTTATGATTATCCATTAAGTCTAGAAATCTTTCATTATCCACTAGACTTTCTCAAGTCCCATTAACCATAAATAAGATATATTTAGAATGACTATAAGCTCTGTGTACAATTTGATTACAAAGTAATTTCTTAGATTGCTGCTTAGAACATTCTTAGATTTACTTACCATATAAGAGAGACACCTTCCTGGCCACAATATATAAAATAACCCATCACCACCCACTCCCTCGGTAATACTCTCCATCTCCCTTATTTTTCTCTTCATAGCATTTTTTTCATTGGTTTTTTAAAATGTTTATTGGTTCATCTGTTTATTTTCAATCTCCTCCTCATTAGGCAAATGTTCAATGGGGACAGTGACTTTGGCCTTTGCTCACAAATGTATGCCTTATACCTAGAACAGTGCCTACCTAGGACGGTGCCCAAAAGCACTCAAGAACTACTTATCAAATGAATGAATATAAAGGCAGTGCTACAGATTTTTAAATCAACTTTCAATCTTTCAAAAAAGATAATCATCTGTTGAACGATTTTGTATTTTCAATTCTGTGTCTACATATTGTAATTAAAGGTCTTACACTACTAGCTTTGCAGTTTCTTCAGTGGGCAAATAGGAAAGCCACCAGCAATCTGTGCTGGCCATTAACAGTAGCCCTAGACTACTTAGCAAATAGTACTATATAAATCATCTTCATCCTTTTCTTCCTATCACCTAAGCTTTTAGAAAAAGTGATTCTTACACAGTTATTTATGAGACAAAAAGGAAGAATTCATTTATATATTACTAAGTAACACAAAGATTCAAGGCACTTGGAGCCATCATTCCATGAAAATATTCCTCTATAGTATTATACCTTGTACAAAAAGAGATGTGTTTAAGGTCCCAAATCAGTTAACCTTAAAGTAGGGAGGATTATCCAGGTAGGCCTGGCCTGGTCACAAGCTCTTTAAATCTATGTTTAGAGGTCAGACACAGAATTCAGAGATCTGAAGTGTAAGGGGATTTGATACACTGTTTGTAGGCTTTTAAAATGGAAGGGGCCACACGCAAGGAAAGCAGGCAGCCTCTAGGAGTTGAGAATAATTTCGGTTGACTACAAACAAAAAAAGGAGAGTCTGCAGTCCTATAACCACCAGGAACTGAATTCTGCCAGCTACCTAGATGAGCTTGGTAGAGGACCCTGAACCTAGATAAGAAAACAGCCCTGGCAGAAACCTTCATCGCAGCTAGGAGACTAAGCAGAGAACCCAGCCACACGTGCCAGACCCCGACCCATTGCGAGATAATACCTTTGTGTTTTAGGCCACCAAGTCTGTGGTAATTAGTTATGCAGCAAGAGAAAACTAACAGTTAGGAATGGCTAAATAAATCAATGTGTAGAACTAATCCAGCGCAGACTCCTTAAGAAAAGCTTCTCACTTAAGCACAGAGATAAAGAATACCCAAAAGCGCACAGTTAAATAAAATAGGACTGTGTTATACACTCACTCAGAGCACCCACAACTTGTTCTCTGTAGCACCTACTGCCGCCATGATGCTATCCCCAGGGATGCCAGTAGATAGTAACTTTTGATAAATGTTTCCAACAAATGAATTAGAAGTTATTTTACTTCAGGCTAAGAAAAAACATTAATTCTCCTTGAAACCTCTCAACTTTAAAATGAAAAACCCTATTTAATATTATTAATAAAGTATGTATTAAACTACCATTTCTAAATGTCATAAATGAAATTAATTATAATATTTATATCAATAAAGGCCTGAAGATGAAACTACATTTTATTACCTTGCTTTCTTCCCCTTGTCTCAGTCTTCCAGGACTTGGAGGAACTGAAGGCCGCTTTCTACCCTTTTCTTGCTGGAAAAGGTCCTGCAACCTATAGTTAAACAGAAAAAAAGAAAACAAAAAAAAAGAATATGGTTTTGTTTCTAATGCCCTAAATAACATTTATAAATTTTCCCCTTACAGCTTTGAAGCTACGATAGTTAGATTTTTCTAACATTTTGATTGCAATAGACTTTAAAGTTGCACATGAGAAGACTAAGTTTTTGTCTTATTTCTAACCAACTAATCAAGAGCTGTTACTGATATGACTATACTTACAAAGGAATAACAAGTAATTATAAGAGACAGCATAACAGAATTTAAAAAACAAAGGGTTTAGGGACCAACACACCTAGGCTCAACGCCCAGCTCTGACAACTAACAGCTATGTAATTTGGGCACATCTCTGAAGTCTCTTAGGGCCATAGTTTGCTCCTCTATAAAATGAGAACAGTACACACACTGTAGGGCTCTTAAGACCAAATAACAGAGTGAATGTTAACCACCTCACACTTCTTAGAACGACAATTATCAATAAGACAAGAAATAGTAAGTGTTGGAGAGGCTGTGGAGAAAAGGAGCCCTCCTACACTGCTGGTGGGAATGCAAACTGGTGCAGCCACTATGGAAAACAGTATGGAGGTTCCTCAAGAAATTAAGAACAGAGCTAGCATACAGCCCAGCAATTCCTCTTCTGGGTAAATACCCAACAGATTTGAAAACATTTATTCAGGAAAGACACATGTACCTCCATGTTCACTGCAGCATTATTCACAGTAGCCAAGACATGGAAACAACCAGCATGTCCTTCAATGGATGACTGGATAAAGATGTGGTACATATATGCAATGGAATACTACTCAGCCATAAAAAAGAATGAAATATTGACATTTGCGACAACATGGATGGATCTTGAAAGTGTTGTGCTAAGTGAAATAAGTCGGATGGAAAAGGACAAGAACCATATGATCTCACTCATATGTGGGATATAAAACAGAAAGCAACAAACGAACAAACAAAACAAATGCAGACACAGATAACAGTATGGTGGTTACCAGAGGGGAAGGGGGGCACGAAGAGGGAAATGGGGGATCAAACACATATGGTGACAGAAGGAGACTAGGCTTTGGGTGGTGAGCACACAATGCAATATACTGATGATGTATTACAGAACTGTACATCTGAAACTTATGTCATATTATTATTAATCAATGTTACACCAATGAATTTAATTTTATAAAAGTGTAGACGTTCGTCTAGTGCCTTACTTAGTGACTAGCATAATCCAAGTGCTCAATTAATAAATGCTATAATAATCTAACTGAACATTTAAGTAAGTATTAAAGGGAAATATTTCCCAAAATAAATATTTAAATAAAGGTATAAGACACACAATAATTCATATACTCACATTTTAGATTCAATGAGCACACACACTATAAGTATTTGAAACAGCATTAAAGACTTCTACTCTCATCTCTGTTTTTTATTTTCATAAATTACCTACAGATTAGCATGTATATTATAAAAGATGAAAACATGTGGGGGGTGGTAGTGTTGACAGAAAATAAAATCTTCTACAACTTGAGAGTAAAATGAAACGTCCACAGTTAATAAAGACATTTAAATGTCTTTGCATCATGGCGGAGCAAATTTGGCAATAATGCTAAACAAACACCAGGCTGCAAAGTCATACCTGTTATTCCAGGCTTGTAGCACTTCACAGAGGCTCTGCTTCTTGGCAATGAGTGACTCGAAGACTGACTGCAGTTGCTGAGGGGTGTCTACAGAGGAAGACATAAGCCTTGCTTGCATCTTCTCAATCCAGTTCTTGAACTCCCCTTCTTCCATCTACAAGAAACAGAAACAATTCCAGCCACCTGAGGCACACCTCAAAAGACACTTCCAATGAGTTAATAGTTAACTTTTCGGTTTCTGTCAAAGGAATAAATTACCTCTTTTTGTGCAAAGATATCTTCCATTTTTTCCTCTCTTGTTTTGCTAAACGTATCAGTTTTCAAAGATGCAAGTCTTTCATCGATAGCAAGATAAACCTGTGAAACTCTGAACAATATAAAGATTAAACACTTTAGAAAAGTAGAATCAAATTTTCTAATGTCACATAAATAGAAAGAAAGATATCACACACAAAACTTTAACTATGTTTTCTATAATTAAGAATCATGTATCAGTTTGCAGAACAAAAAAGACCTGAAAGGATGTTAACAGCTGTTAAGTCTGGCAGGGCTTGTCTTCTTTTTTGATACTTTTATGTATTGTCTACATTTTTATTTTTTTACATCATGCATATACAACGTATAATTAGAAAATGCAGTTACATACATTTTCAAAGAAAGCTACATGAACAAACCTGATATTTAACACAGCTACAGACTACAGGCAGTACTGAACAAAAAGGACGATGAAAGAAACTAAAACTTACTTTTGAAAGAAGTCCTTCAGATCCTGAAGAAGGGACACTTTTAATGGGACCTGACGCTTAATGAATACTTTGGGGAGGGGAACACATACTTCAAGGAGACGAATGGGAGAGTAACTGAGAGAAGAAAACACAAGTAATAGAAGAGTGAGAAATATTTTAATATTTTGAGTACAGGTAAGTCATGATAGTCAACTAAATCCTACAAGGCATAAGAAATAATAAAGTTTCCATAAAATGGCGTTTTAAAATAATCATAGAAATACTGAAGACAACTTTCCACCATTATAAATATTCTGCCCAATTTTGGAAGGATTTTGTTTGTTTTTTCACTGCACCATGATGTCATCATTTATCCCTTCTGTGTTTTAAAAACAAAAATGACTGGGCTACAACTGAGGAGAGGCACTCAGGCCTCCAGTTAGAGAATTCTGCAGGAGACTCTCTTTCTGAAGGTGTAAATCATCTAGCAAATGCTCTGCCCCACCTGTGCCCTAGGGTCATGCTTAAAAGCTCTTACTCCAAAAAGGACATAGGGTCCAATTTTTACAAATATTTCCTGAGGGCCTATTAGGTGTCAAGTTGCTGTTTTAGGTGCTGAGGATACAGCACTAAGCAAGTGCCAAATTCCTGCCCTCAGGATTCAGGAATAATCCTGAAAGCTGGGTAGCAAACAAGATAAATATATGCTTAAAATATGTATTATATCATATGGTAAGTGCTAAGGAGAAAAAGAAAGCTGGTGGGGAGCAGGGAACGCTAGAGGTGCTAGGGAGTCAAGGCAGGTGAAACTGAACAAAGACAGGAAGTAAGGAAAGCAGGCAGATGTCTGGGGAACGGCGGTTCAGAGGGGGAAACGCACGTGCACGGCTCCCGGGTAGGAGCCGACCTGACATAACGGAGGCCCCCCCAGGACACCAGGGAGGCGGCAGCACGGTGAGCGAGGAGAGAGTAGTAGGAGGTAAGAACAGAGAGGCACTGGGCAGTCACCGCATGTAGGAGCTCACAGGCCCATAAATGAACGCTGGGTGAAACACCCTTAGAAGGTGTGGCCTGGCCTGATTCTCATTGAATGAAATCATTCTGACTGCTGTCTTGAGAACAGGCTACAGGGGCCAAGGCCAAAGGGAAACTGGCCAAGGCTACTGCAATAATCTAATGAAAGGTCACAGCCCAGTCCAGAGTGGTTGTGGTGGAGGTGGTGAGAAGTGTTCGGATCCTGGATATATTCTGAAGGCAGAGCCTGAAGGCTTTCTCAAATCTTTTAATACCACAGTGTAACTACCCTTCTCTGAACTAGCGATTTTAGCTCTATCCAGAATATCCGATTATGCTTATGCTAGTTAATGTCTTAGAAAAAATTCTGACAAACTCTCAGATGCAAAAACAGAAACAATGGCTAAGAATAACACCTACAGTAGCAGGTCTGCTAGTTCATATTATGACTCCATCGCTTGCTAGCTCTATCCGCCATCTATAGGCTCTCTAGCGAGGGTGATAATAATATCTAGTATTTCATAGGGGAAGGATTGAGTAAAATAACACTGAAAGCTCTTAACACAAAAATATGGCCCTTTGCATTTGCAAAGGTGGGTCTGGGGAACAACACACACCACGAATTAATTCAATCTAGTAAGAGTAGAAATGTCCAAAGCCTTCCAGGGAGTATGTGATTCTGTACACATGCTCTGACTTCTTACCTGAAAGAGGCCACCATCTGGTTATAGGAGAAATACTGGTGGTAATCATGGTGGATGGAGTGACCACACGGCTCGGCATTGGCTCTCCGAGTGTACTGGTGCCCATAAAACCTAAGTTCAAGGTATTTTGCAAATGACATGGACCAGGACTCATTGGAAAGAGCAACAACTGGTGTTACCTGAAATTCAGCATAAATCGTTTATCTAATCACATATTGACAATCTCTTTAAAAAAAATAATAACGTATTTTCTTTTCTAATACAAATCTAATACATTCTGATGGCAGAAAACTGGAAAAAGAAAGGTTTAAAAGTGGATGGAGTTAGGGATGGCTAGGAAGAACAATATCACCAGTAATCCCACCACCAACATCAATATGCTAGATACTGATTTTCTTTCTTTATGGGTAGAAAGTATATTTGTATATGAAAACTCTTTCCTGTAATTAGTTTCATAAGCTTTTATTATTTTTTACTAGCAATAGATCATAAATATATTCCCACATAAAATACTCTTGTACCACTTGATTTTTAATGGCTGCAGAGTATTCCATTATGTGGCGATATTTAACCAACCCCTAATGATGTACATTTAAGTCATTACAAGTTTTTCTTTATTTTGATGATGCTCTGATGAACTTCCTTGTATATAAATACTTACAAATAACCATAATTATTTCCTTGGAAAAAATAAAAGTGGAAACTGGTATGTCAAAGGGCATGAACCTGTATATGGTCTTTGACACTTTTTGCCACATTGTCATCCAAAACAGGTGTACTGGTTTACACCATCTCCAACAGTATCAGAATAACAATTCCTCCACTTTCTTACCAATCTCAGGAATTATAAATCTTTGAAATGTGATTTCAAGGAGTAAAAGATAAAAGATTTTAAAGAAAAAAATGCACTTCACTGGTGTTTTATTTATACTTCTTTGACTACTAATAAGTAAAATTAATTTGCACAAATCTAATGACCATCTGTATTAAATTGCTGTGTTGTGCTTTTTGCCCATTTTTCTATTATTGTGGCTTACAGAATTTTCCTATTAAATATATTAACATTATATAACTTTTTTTGACACATAGAAGTATTACTTTTTGGTATAACAAACACTGTTTACCTTTTCCTTTCTAATATAATCCCAAAGGCGGAAACTTTTGTTTTAAAATAAAGTGCATACACCAAAGTATGCAAGATATAAAGATCAAATTTAAGTATTCATTTAGTTCAATGGTCAATCTACAAAAGTTCACATATTCTACAAGAAAATATTACCAGCTGTCTAACAGAATCTAAAGATTCTGATATCTTTAGATAATAGACAATAAGAACAAGTATAAAAAGACTGATAATTGGAAGAAATGATTTCACAGCTGTACGTTTGCTACTGCAGAAAGAGCTAACTTTGATTTTGCCCTCCTCAACCACTGATATTGATATAGGTCACACTATAATTGTACCTGTAATTCCCATATATGCCTTTCAAAAGCACACTCCAAAATAAGCCAATAAAGATGCCAATAAAGTTAAATTTGGCACACGCTCACTGCAAACAATTTGGATAAAAATATATATTAAAAACATAGTACTAGCACCAAATACTTCCTCTGGAGTTACAAAAGAAAAGCACACAGAAGAAGTAAAACACATGTTCTTTTCTCAAGAATGTACATGAAACACCAGTAGAGATCAATTTAAACATGGCCTCATCTATACCTAAGATAGCAATGTAGATATGGGCTCAAACTTATGCAAACATCCTAGCATACTGTAATTACTGTGTTATAAGTCTGTCTGTCCCCTAGAGTATAGGAGCCATATCCTGTTCTTTTCTCATTCCTAGGGCCTAGCACAATACCCGGCACATAGATGGTGCTAAGTAAGTGTTTGCTGAACGAATACACAAACATAACTGAGAACTGTCAGGACTGGACAAGGTACCTGACAAATCCGAAAATAGAATCTTCAAGAAATAAACATTTTATGAAACATAAAACACTAGAAGGTTTTGATAAATAAATAAGAGCCCAATGACAAATACTATAGCCACAGGGAACGTTTACCTGTTTGCAGATCCTGCACCAGGAATAGGTGAGAATTGTATGTTGATATCCAGGTACTGGAGAATCCAACTCCTTCAGGATTATCTGCACACAGCCTTGGCCGTGGACAAAGCGCCGAACATGATGCACCATGGGGGTGTCACAGAACATGCTAGGACACTGATAAGAAGGCCTTTGACAAGAAGAAAGTCCCCACATTAACCACAAAACTAGGAGTGATGTATAACGAATACTGGCTAATCAGAGCCCCTGCCAAGGAAGTGCAGCAGCCCCTCTCGAGTAAGGATGATGGATGGAGTCTATTCAGGGTACCACGGAAAAGTACCGATGAGCATCCTGTCTTCAACTACAGTACGGTGCCAGCTCCCACTTGTTAAGTGCCTTCTATTTGCTGAGCATTTTTAAAACATCATCTCATTTTACCTATTAAAGCTCCTGGCATTTCTGGGGCTTGTAATTCCCTGTAAAGGGGGATGGTAAAGATCAAGTTACTTGCTCTTCGAAATGTAAGTGGCAAGTGATAGCCTGAAAACTTAAACTGAGACCCTATGCTTCTGTTGTTTCTCATTTGAATCAATGTAAAAACAAACATCCTAAAAAAAAAAAAAAAAAGTTTTAGGGTTGGCAGGATACTTAGGTGGGCAAAGATTTGAGGAATGAACTGGGTAAGACATCCCAGGTTGAATATGAAGCAGACTATTATTCCTTTGCACGGCACACTAACATGTGGTACGAAAGTGAGGGCTAAGCAACAATACTCTAATTCATGCTTATGTTTTAGGCATCGAAAAAGCATTAAGTGGAACATAAAAAGAAAATGTGTTCTTACCTGAAACAGTATCTCTCTAAAAATATTCCTAACGTAAGATCGTTCTTTCCATAAAACTCCATTGTTACAATCCTAAAAGAAGAGATCATTTCTTAGTGACATATCATAATTAGTACTACACAGTAAAGACATTTCATGAGATTGCAAACCAATTATCTGTTGATGTGCTTATAACATAGTATTAATGAAGGTAATATTCTTTTGTTGTTACAGGTTTTACCTTATCAGATAAAACAGGTTTGGACTAGCCACACTACAGCATCTTATCCACTCCCAGTCCATTAGTATCTTATGAAACTATTTAATCAGGATCATAAACCATAATATTAAAGGAGTAAAACTGAGTTAGGAGAAGTAACAGCTTCTTTACAAAGCTTTAAGCCCTGTCACCATAATATGGGGATCCTGTCTCCTGCTCTCTAGGCCACACCATTACTGAGCATGGTGAACAGCAGCTCATCCACTTCCGGGAGAGCCAATTCCTAGCTTTATATGTAACATGGCAATGCCCACAAACATGAGAGCTTGGCTATACCCTGGCTGAAACCTTCATCTTATTCGAGCCTTGACCTAAGGAGTCCTTAAACTCCCAGAGAAAATTCCTATGGGTTCTGCCAGACCCAAGTCAGCCTGCTAAAACTATGCTGATAGTAGAAGAATCCCTGATCTCACTGGTAGAAATAAGTCTTTCTGGTACCCAAAATTAAAATATAAAACACATTCTGTCATGGAAACAGTGCTCCAAAAACAAGCAGTTATGTTCCATAGTACCTTTAAAACTAAAGGTAAACTACGTAATAACCAGCTTTTTGTGACTATCATTTGAAACAAATAATTTATAACATTATAGAATGTGTTTCTATCAATACTTAGAATTACGTTTTAGAATAAAACTTAAGGCAAAAGACTGACTGCTTTTATGAAAATGATGCCTAAAGGAAAACCTACCTAAACTGTACATTATCAAAATGCTGAAAACAAGCTTTTATATATCAACTTTCTTGCTCTTATAATTACAAATTTCTCTTCCAGCCTCGCACCCTTTTCACTCTTACTTAAGGTAATCTCATTTAGTTCCACCCATGAACAAACAGAAAATTCATATTTAATTCACAAGTTTAAAAGTTCTATCAATTCATATATGACCAGCTGCATGCCATGGACCAAAAAATGGATCCTAAGGGCTGAGTGTTTTTAAGGTGCTGGAATTCTGTTCTTAAGCAAAATGCGATTGCGCAGGGGGACAGGAATCCTACCAAGGGCTGACACAGGCACTGGGAGCGTTACTGGACTGGGCAGAGGAGCTGCTGAAGAGCACGCACAGTCTTTGGTGGTTGGCAGGGTTCAGACAGTCCACCTGGAAAAGAAGGAACAGGTGAGCCCGCGGAAGCTGTTCCACACCCCAGGCCCTCTGCACGCTTCTCAAATCCAACACATTCCACTCGTTTTTTTGTTGTTTTGTTTTTGTAGCTGAGCCATCCTGCAACCCTTTGGCAGCTCAGCGGCAGCTCAGCTCGGGCCAGGAATCTAACTGGCGACCCTATTGCTCAGAGCTCGCACTCTTGAGCGAGCTCTTAACCAACTAAGCCACTCAGCCAGCCCCCTACTCGGTTTTTAAAGCCACCTATCATCACTGAAGGGGTTCTGGTGAAGACTTAAAACTAAGAAACTAAATATAAAGAAGAGCAGTTCATTTTTGTGGTAAAACAATACAAAAAATTTTAAATTAAAGTTAAAAATACAAACAATGTCCACATAGCTTGTTTTCTTAAATACTCTTTATTTTTACAAAACTGCATTGAATTATTCTAGAATAGTTAATTAAATGTGAAACAATTCATTTGAAACAGTCTGAGCTAATGGATGGGTATAACATCAATTTGGGATACCCAGAGATCTAAATCCTAAGGTATTTATTTATTTGTAATTTATACCTATTTTTGATCATTGCAAAGGTTAACACCTGCTCTCTGTTGAAATTCACATAGTACAGAGGTATATGAAAAAGTTCATGAAGTACATAACATCTCTCTTTCTTTGATGCCACCCAACCTCCCAAACTGACAGATTTGACTGTCTGGTTAAAAACCATGCATTCTTGTTGCTAGCTCACACACACACATACACACAGGAACATCCACATAAGTATAAACAGTTTATTGTTTTTATAAACATGGGACAATGCTACACATATTAAAACACAACTTGCTTTTTTAAAACTTAAAAATTTATCATGGGCTCTATCTGGGTCATTAAATAAGATCCAACTCATCCATTTTACAGCAAGCATTTAGAAATAATGCTTCAGTAAACATCCTTGTACATATATTCTTATCAATTGTAAACATCCTTATATAAAATGCTTCCTTCTTCCGGCAAGAATCGGTTGAAAAAAAATAGGAATCCTAAATCAAAAGTACAGACAAGCTCATGTAAACTAGTAGAGACTTCCCTGTCACTTTTTATACATTTACATAAATGTATATAAACATAAATTTATATAAAGTTTATTATAGGTATCTTCCCGTACTTCATTAACCATGGCTCTTATCACTTTTCCTTTTTGCCAGTCTCACAAATAAAACAAGGTATACTATCATTATTTAGCACTTTCCCAACTACCAGAGAAACTGGACATTTTTTCGTTTGTTTTATTAAACAACTGCATTTCCTCATCTAAAGATGTTTTTTTTTTTCAGGACCGGCCGAGTGGCGCATTGGTTAAGAGCTGGCTTGGGACGCCAGAGGGCCCCAGTTTGGATCCCACATATGAGGACCAGTGACACTGCCCTCTACAGCTAAGATGCTGAACAACAGCTCGACCTGGAGCTGGGTTGCCATGAGTCGCCAGCGAAGGCATAGGCTGCAGCCCCTGTGGCAGTGGGTTGCCATGGGCTACCGTGTGTAGCCAGCAGCCAGCGTGAGCGGCCAGCAGCCGCAGTGAGCAGCCGTCCAGAAGCCGGCAACTGATCTGCCTCGCCCGTGAAGAGCGCAATGATGGTGCCAACTTGGGCCAGGGAAGCAATGTCCTCCACAACTAGACTGAAGAACAAAAGGACAGCAACTTGTCCGTTCCCCTTCCCCCAATTCCCCAGCGCTGTTCCCATCCCCCAATTCCCCAATAAAAATCTTTAAAAAAATAAAGATGGATTTTTTCATTAGTTTTATTACCACCATGATCAATAATATGTCCATGAATAAATCTTCCTTAACCTGTCCTCAATTTCTGTTTAAAAAGTAAAGAAAAAGGGCACTGTCATAGTTAAATAATAATGCAAAGTGTTTTATGTTAAACTAAATAAAGCTAACATTTTTTGAAAACACATCCATTTCCTATAAGAAGCTGCCATGTCTCCCTCTCCCCCTTACTACCATTAAAAGAATCAAGGACACTCCACACCCCACCCAAGTCTCCTGCCAGAAGTTTTAAGCAGTTCCACATATTCCCGTCCCTCAGAGCTCTTCCTAGTTTACTGGGAGCTCAGCTTGAAACTCTCAAAACCCAGTTACATTATATTCCTACTTCACACATTTTAAAGCAACACATAAGCAGAGAGACCTAAGACACAAAAAAAGCATAGGAGAAATATTTCATAAATCTGCATGCAATTTTGTCATATTTGATTTTTTTTTCTCTGCCAATGCCAGAGTGGTCGACACATTCTAAATTTACACAAGCACCCAAAGTGGGCTCACTCACCTTTGTGGACCACACCGCATCACTTGGAATCAAGCCTTTCTCTTCCTCACCCTCAGTTTTGCTTCCTGATTTGCCACTTGAAGAACCTGATACATCCTTCGAATGAGCAAAAGGGTCTGAATTTTTTTGAATTCTTCCTCCTCTGGCCCGATAATCAGCCAGCATTCTCCCCAAGCTCTGGCTATCGCCCAGATGCTCGGCAATTCTAGTGCTCACGAGCTCATGGGAGGGCAAGACCTGAATAGACCTGGCCTGAACACTTCCATTCATGCCCTGCAGGCCAGAGAGATCCCTGAGCAGCTGTTTCTTCCGCCGGCTCTCCATTTCTTTGAATTCTTTATTGAGGAGAGGAGACCAGTAAACCTGCTCTGCAAAATAATCGCGGGTGGAGCATTTCATCCCCTTTTCAGTTAAAAGGAAGGGCTCCCGAAATGTGATCACTGGGGAGATACAGAGGATGACGTCTTTTAATTCCTGCTTAAAGGCCAAAGAATAAGTCTTTCGTTGATCTTCAGAAGAGGTCACTTCCTCCGTAACATAGAGCCCAGTGTCATCCTGGAGAGGGTCTCTAAAGGTTTTCATCTGGCTTTTGGGGTCCTGTAGCTCATCTGTTTGCTGCAAAGTCTCTGGCGGCTCAAGGCAGAGGGTATCCTGCTGGTCATCCACATGGAGCGGCAACAGTGATTCCGGGACTGATGGAAAGAGAGCGCAGGGCACACCCACGGGGCAAGCTGCGGTGGCAAGCTCCTGATGCTTCACAGAGGCGACATCCTGCGCAAAACCTTTATTTTCCTGGTCACCCTTGTCAAACACAAGCCTTGATTCTAGCAAACTGCCATCATCAGGGGGCAGCAACTCCAGAGGGAAGCCAGGCTCCTGGGGGAGGGGACTCCCAGTGAACGGCTCTTGTGCCGCCTCTTCATCCTCATGTCCCTCAATCAGAGAATGGAAGGAAGGGTTTTGCGTTAATGTCGGAGGCATAGCAAATTCATCCATGAGGAATGAGATTTCGAGTTGAGAATGATAAGCTACACAGATCATAAATATTAGGATCTCCTTAACTCGAGCCAGTTCATAATCAGAGCCTCCTCGAAGCTTGATCGTGCAGCCCAGGTGCTGGGGACAGCCTTCGAAAAACATCAGTGTTTTGGTTTGTTCTACAAATAGACAAACAGAAAGTTAAGAATAGGTGGCCATCCAGTACAGGAGGCCAGACAGAATTAATTCACTATCTTACCATCTGTAAGAGACAAGATCACAGTTGCCTATCCTCATGTAACCACTGCTAACACGTAGATATCTCCTGCTAAGTAAACACCATAGTGCTGATGAGGTTACCAATATCCTCAGGCCCCCAATCTAGCGTGAATCAACGCTAAAGATCACTCACCATTAGGCAACTGAAACATCTGCATATAAAATTTGTGACAGGTGCCCAGGTGGGGTTTTGTAAGCAGCTGGTCCATCGACATGACTAAATCACCTTGGGTCATTCGACTGATTCGTTCCAAAACTTGCTAGAACAAAGAAAAACATTATATTATGAAATTAGCGAAGAATAAAATCCTTAGTAAATTTAATCTGGAAAGGTAATAGGAAAAGTTAAAAATAACCTTTAAAACTAATTTCCTTAATTTTAATAATTACATGACCTTTTTTTGATTCTACATTAGCCCACACGTACATAGTTGCTTAGTAATCAACATGTGCCTCTAGAATAAACCACACTCATTAATAACGTCATCAAAAGGCATTTAAGCTCCATGCACTGGCCCAGGATACTATAGGGATTGGGGAGGCACTTCTTGAAATTGGAATTCAGTTACTCTGAAGAGAGTAACTTTTCAAAGGCAAGAGCATCTTCTGCTCGTACAATTCCCTGTACGAAATCAGGGATCAACAAATATACATATTAACTAATGTCTGTGACGTCTTTGGTCTTGCAGACACCTATAATGAGAGTTACATAATTAATCAGTTTCTTCCAGCCTGAGATTCTCCAGTTTTAAAGAGTGAGAAAGATGCCATGCTTCCTGTCCTACTTTCAATATATATGTTTCAGCAAAGATAAATCATCAATAAATCATCAATGATCCTTGCATACCTACCACATATGCATATAAACTTAAAAGATGTGATTTTTTTTCAATGATACAAAAATAAAATATAAGAAAACTCACTGATTTTACATTAATGACCAAAGTAATGCCATGCTCCAATAACATGTCCTGGGCAATCCGAGATACCGTTTTCTCTACTAGAACCAGTGTGGGTCGAACATCCACTATTCGCTGAACATAATTCTTCAAGAATTCCCTTTCCTAAATAAAATAAATCAGAAATGTTATACCTGGTTCAATTCAAGATCTAGACATTAAAATATCAGGATAGTTTTACCTATTAATATCAATGTCAGCTAAGTTTTCTTTGTCCATAAATAAGTCTGTAAGTAAATTAATTCAAACACAATTAAGAATATTATTCATCTTTCCAAACTGTTGATTATGCTGGAAAGAGTTTCAAGAGAAACTCCATTCTCCAACTCACTAATTTTACTTTGAAGGTTTTTAATTCTTAATAATCTGTAATATAAAAGCCAGAATCCAATTAGCTAGCTATCAGAGGTTAAAAAAAAAAATGAAAGCAATTTCTAAGTGTTTTTGACGTAGTTAAGGATTCCACCTTTACATTCTGAAGCAAACCAGAGTATCTCTTCTTTTGGGCATCTGCATAAATAACTAACAGGCTAGTTCAGCTACTTCCTAATTTCAATCTCCCAACAGATCATATTCTACCTAGAACAGCTACAGTTAAACAATAAAACACAATGCTTAATACAATTTCATGACAAAGGCTTATTTTCAAAGCCAATGAGTACTGTAAATAACAACCACACTTCAAACAATGCAATTCAATAATTATTTTATAAAATTTCTCAGCTCAGACAGGAGACAACCGGACTTGTGAGCATGTTTGTCACTTCTGCCCCATATGCCCCCAGTGTTTTCTGAGCAAGGCTGTACTCACGATCAGGGCCACCAGCCACGGACGAGCACATTCCCTGCAATGAACCTGCCCCGTTACGGGGTATCCTTCTTCTCACCTCTCTCGGTTTCACTGATAGAGACTGTACATTTTCATTCTCCCATTCTTAACAAAAACCGAATTTTTCTTTCCTGAAATGTGTGTATTTCCTACTCTGCTTACTAAATTGCAATTTAAGGGCTTTTAGAATGATTTTATTTGTGCAATTCCAATAAAGTATAACTAGAATAAAGATTCTGGCATCTGGTACAGGAATGGCAAATACATTTCCTCTCCATTCCAGCTCCTATCACGACTGTATGTGAAGCACCATGTTAAAGAAAGAGGCCTGGGCCAGGCTCTGCACGGAAGGAGAATTAGGAGTAGGCCAAGAGCACGGAACGGAGCAGTGGAGGACCAACAGAACTGGCAAGGCCGGCCTGGTGAAGACAGTAACACTTCAGGCTAATTATCAGCTCCCTGCCCTTGGTTTCTGATCCACCATTTTTGATCTACCTGTTAGCTTCTTCTTGGATTATTCAGTCATTCCACATTGAGTGGACCAAGAAAAAAGAGGCGGAGGTCAGGAAAAATTGAGCTGATATTGTCTACCAATTCACATTAAAAGTGTTAATAGGAGTAAAGATATAATAAACTATGTTTTAAAGCACTGATGAACAAGACACTAGCTTTATGAATTAAATCACGTTTCTTAAGTACATATTACCCAGAGCATACTTCTCTAATATGAAAAGATTTTAGTCTGTTAACCTGACTGCAACAATGGAGTAAAATAAAGTGGATAAATTTAAGTACAATTTTTTTGTAAATAAGTATCTGTGGATTCCATGACCTAGTTCATCAATTTCAAGATATACAATTTTACAATTTTAACATCTCTGAAATCAAGATGTAGCCTACGATCAACACAGTTGTAATCTAATCCTATAAAGTCGTCTTCTGATACCTTTGGTGAGATACGAAAACCTAGCATCAAGGATCTCAGATTTGACAAACGATAATTGTGTTTCCCCCCAATCCTTACTTCAGTTTTCCACTGAAAAATCACAGTAAATCAGAGCTAGAAGGGATGGTATAAATCTAGTTGAAACCTCTCACTTTTACTGATATGTAGCTGAATTTCAAAGAGGAACCAGCCCCAGGTAACAGAGTTCATTAAGCAACAGAGCAGTTTCATAAACCCCGGCGCCTTTCACCACAACTCAGGTTCCCGTTGGCATCTTAATTCAGTACAAAAGCAATTGCACTCACTGCTCTTAGAAAAGTGTGCCTATTGCCTATGAATTTTCAAGTAATGCTTTTCCTAAATGTTTCTGGAACCGAATATAAGCGTTTCTGCTATAATATAATACACACATTCCTGAAAGCCTCCCGTTTTGAACCACAAATTAAAATTAATAGCATGTATGGGAGAAAAGGGGTTGGGGCAGAAAACTTTTTAAACCTTCATATCCAGAGCACTAACACAAACAATAATTGGTACCTTGAGAAAGAGCCCAGACAACCCAGACAGGCAGCTCAGCATAGCTGGAGGCTGCCTCAATTGAAATGTACAAAAACTCTGCAACGGTACAACTGGACACGGAGCTCAGAGCAGCAGAACCATTAACAGCTGTCCAAGGCTGGGGGTGCACCTCTGGGGAGAGGGCCCTTCGAGCAGTTCACTTTTAATTTCCTAAAATAGAACCAAAAGGGTCCGTGCCTGCGTAGCCACTGATCTGAGGCTGTTTTTCTTTCTAGCTGAGGGTTATAATCCTACTACAGCTATTCTGGGCCCCCTTACTTAAGAAAAACCACATGGAAACCACAACTTCCACCTGACATTACTCCCATTTACCAATTGCGTGTAAACTAACTCGTGTTCTGGAAACATGGGTATGAATAGAAAAGACTATATTGAAATGAGGTATTGCCATTGGGAACCTGGTAAGTTAAGAGAAATCCTTCAAGTAAATCAATGACCCAACTGGGAAAGGAAACCAGGAACTGGATTTCCACTTTTTCTTCCATACAGTCCCCAAAAGTCCTGTGTTCCCTTTAACACTTTGAAACTACAAAGAGTGACAGAGGTTTCGGTAAGCTTCTAAAGTGTAATGCATAAAAAATGTCTTTTATAATAAATTTTTATAGCGAAACAAGAGCAAACAAGTTTCTTTTCCTGTCAAATTTTATCAGCTGGAACGAGTTATAAGAGTTGGCAAGCAACACAACATAAACATTTCCTTCCAGATTATTGCTTCAATAAGAAGTTCTTACCTGCAGCACAATAGGATCAATGCAAGTAAATTTAGTTTCTTCTCTGTAGAGATACTCAATGGAACACTTCAACAGAAGAATTTTGGGGTTTTTAATACAAGAATTCATCTACCAAAAAATGAACAGTTTGTTAAAGCTCTTCAAGTTTCCACTTTATAGACCTCCTTTAATCATACCTTTACATTCATACTATTCATAATTCCTGTTAAATAGATTATCTCATTATATTCATATTAAAATACTCTTATTTAGTTCTTTTGTGGTATTCCCTTATATTTTTTCAAAACAAATAATTTAGTTCAGAGCAATGCAAAATTCTTCAAAAACTGGCTCTGTTTCACTGATGCTACTTTAATCTACTCCTCTAAAATCTGAACTATGTTTTTTTTCTTATTTCTAATGTTGCAATAAGAGACAAGTCCTGAGTAGGGGCAATGGGGCTTAAAGACAGGCTATTTCATGGAAAACAGTGTGGAGGTTCCTCAAAAAAATTAAGACTAGAATTACCATACGATCCAGCAATCCCTCTTCTGCTCATCTACCCAAAAAAATCTGAAAACATTTATCTGTAAAGATATATGTACCCCTATGTTCACTGCAGCATTATTCAAAGTGGCCAAGGCATGGAAACAACCAAAATGTATTCGACAGATGATTGGATAAAGATGTGGTGTATGTGTGTGTGTGTGTGTGTGTGTGTGTGTGTGTGTGTGTGTGGTCGAATACATATATATATATACACACACACACACACACACACCACACACACACAATGGAGTATTACTCAGCCATCAGAAAAGATGATATGCTGCCATTTGTGACAACATAGGTGGATCTTGAGATTATCATGCTAAGCGAAATAAGTCAGACAGAAAAAGTTGAGAACCATGACTTCACTCATATGTGGGATATAAAACTGAAAACAAAAAAGGAACAAGGCAAACAAAAAAACAAAAACTCACAGACTCAGATAGCAGTTTAATCGTTACCAGAGGGTAAAGGGAGGAAGTGGGTAGCAGAAAAGAGTAAAGGGGGTCAAATATATGGTGATGGAAAGAGAACTGACTCTGGGTGGTGAACACACAATGCAATATATAGATGATGTATTATAGAACTGTACACTACTTGAAACCTACATAATTTTACTAACCAACATCACCCCAATACATCTAATTTTTTTTAAAAAGGGTATTTTACAAACTCTCAGAGATCAGCAATCTAGAAAGTGTAATTTAACCTTTCAAAAATTCAAGAAGCGTAGAGGAGGGAGAAAAGAATTAAAATGCCTCTTGAATATATTTCTAATAGAAATGACTTCCAAGCAGTCGTATATAGGTAAGCCAATTGGGTAACAAGAAGCTAAAAAACCCTCTCCAGGAGCAGAGATCCAAACAATATGCCCCAATCATGCAACTAAAGACACAGGCAGGCTGGCCGGACAGTGGACATTGCCGATTGACCAAGCTTAAGGACTCCGGACTGACAAATGGTCCTGAAGACAGTGACTCACCAGCTGCAAAGCTACAGTCAGGGCTCTTCCGGGAACTACAGATTAAAGACTATCTCTAAATATGGGCAGTGGGGCAAGACAGACATTCAGGCCTATGTTTCTATCACACCCACAGACAATTTTCAATTCCAGAGAACAGCACCACACATTTAACTCTTCGTTCAACAAAGATCATTTCGTTTGGTCTGCAGTACTACTTTAATGGGCAATGTGCTGTTTCAGTAAGACTCTATGTAGAAATACTGACTTTGGATCATAGCTGTGAAATAATATCAAGTCCTGGCATACTTTATCTACTGCCATTAACAATTTTCAGAAAGCTTACAGCCTTACAAAAAAATAAATCATTAGTCTCTGCTTAGAAAAGAATGAAAATAGGACTGTAGTTCATCCATCTAGTCCTTCAGGCTAGAGATCTGCCTGAGCTCTCACTGTAATCAAATCAGTATCCCCAGAGGTGGAGTCAGGGTATCTCTACTTCAGCAAGTTTCCTTAGTGATTCTGAAGCACAGCAAGGTTTGAGAACACTCCTACAGATCAATGGATTCTCAAAATGTGAGAACCAACAAATGACACTGGAAACACTTAAGAGTGCCTACTTTAAAAGCAACCCCACACTTCTCCTACACCCCACCTTCCCACTCCCCTAAATCTACTGAGTGGGAATTTCTAGGGGCTGGGCTTAGGCATCTAACTTTTTAAAAAGGTCCACCCATGAACCGGATGTACACTACACTTTGGGAAACAGTGGCCTTCAGAATAAAGTTCAAGAGCCACGATGGGATGCAAAGCCGTTGCCTGCTCCCTCCAGCCTCATCTCCTTTCCCATCTTGCACCTTAGGGTCTCTGGGTTTCCTTAATACACTAAGTTGTTTCACTCCACTCCTTTGTGCAAGTGCTAGAAAGAGGCCTCAGGCCTGAAGATAGAGATAGAAGGTGAGAAAGAACAGAATTCCAGCAACAGTTCTGCAGCTCATCCCTAGAAGAGAGAGCAGAATTTAAAATGCCAGTCCTGTGGAAAGACTCCAGTCTGTCACGAAAACCTTGTCTCTCTGAGGTGTGGCAGCGTCAGGGGAGAAATGATACTAGTATCCTATCGTTGCGTTGGTTTGGAAGCCTCCCCCACCCTCCCCCTTCCTTCTTTTGTCTGATGAATTCCATTATCCAAATCCCAATCATCATCGGCTCTGGGAGACCTTCCCTGAACCTTCAAAATGTTGCCCCTAGAGCAGACACTGCCAAGTCCTCAATGCCCGCTCTCCTTTCCTTCCATGGTGAGGGTACTCCGACTCTGTTAGCTGGGCACACAGCCACAGTTTGCTAAACTTCCCTGTTGAAGGCAATCACATTACCTTTTTATGTGCAATATTCTTGGTACAGACAAATCCATTGACAACCACAGAATCAAACTTCTTTCCACCTGGGATCTAATGAAACAATTAAGAAAACAATAAAATTCGATGATATATTCTTAGACTCCCGTCTGATGGATACTATTATTTATTTCCATTTTTTATTTTATCAATTATGTAACCGAATCAGACCAAGAAGTTTCAGGATACAGTTCTTCCTTTCAACCAATAATTAATGGCATCTAGCACAATTGTCTATTTTCCCACCTCCCACTCTGAAGTCCTATCTGGTACTCTAAAATACTCATTTGAACAAATCAGTGCCATCTGGCAACTGAAACCACTATTAAGTGACATTGATAAATAAAACAAAACCATCTATTACTCCATTACTATTAAATAAAGCAATTACTCACTGCTTTTTCTCAGAACAGTGACAGTAAACTAAGGACAGCCCTTCTCATAAATGACAAGTCAAGAAGAGGAAGCAAGAAAGTTAGAAATGATCTTTGTTGGGGTTCCCAACTCGTTCCATGCCCAACCCACCCCTGCCATTTACCTCTCGCTTCCTGAGTGGCTTCCGAGATCCCTAAATGCAGTGCTAACAAACAGAGCAGACAGAAAAACCTTCCCCTCCCCACCTAGCCCCCGCCACGGCAACAACCTTTTCAGATTACCATTAAGAGACAAGCTACTCCCAGGCCCGCCTCATCAGTTCCCAGCATTAGAAAAGCATTAGCAGAGCTCACTTTTTTGATGTGGACAAACTGACGGATATCCATGTCATCATCACGGTTCTTGACATCAGGTCGGACTGTCTGAACAACCTGGCAGACCAGTGATACAATGATGTCCCTCCAAGATGGTGACAATGAATCACTATGGAGCAACTGTTGGAGTAGTGCCATCATGTGGTTATGATTAGCTGAACTACAAAAGTGTTACAAAAAAGAAGTTTGCAGAGTCAATACTGCCAGAGGCAATAATTTTGAAGATGCAATAAGCAGTCTACGAAGAAATAAGCCTATGAATTAAGGCTCACACAGAAGATCTTCTTGGTCAATTTTATTCTTTCATTATATCTAGGCTTTAATGATTTGCTCATAAATGAAATTCTGAATATCTCCAATTAAGATAACCCCTTTAATGTGGTAAAAATTTTAACACATAAATTACAGTCAGGACAGATAAGCACAGCTTAGGACTCTTTTGTTCTATAAAAACTTTCATCAGAACAGGCTTTATTTCCTAAGTAATCTTAGTATTTTGACTTTATAAAGAAAAGAACTATGCATATGCCCATCAAGTCACTGAAGATTGTAAAAATGGAAAATTCAAATCAAAAAGCTCACTGCCTTACAGCAACCTCTCCATGGCTTGTTTCTCTCCATTCTCCTCCCTCAGCAGCTCCAGATTGTTATGATGCCAGCCCAAAGGCGTGAAAGGCAGCTCCTTGGATTTTTCCTCAACTCGACGATTAAACAAAGATTCTAAGCAAAGTGTAAAAGAAGAAATTATACTTCATTGTAATGTTTAGTACCATCAACTCACAGGTTTAGAGCTAGTCAATTTATCTTTGCAAACATTTTAAGTTGGCCAGTTCAAACTGTTGGTGTAAAAAGGCAGGGACATGTATAAATACATAAATAAAAGAATTGTGTGCATAAAAAAAAAAAAAGTGTGCATTAGAGCATCAATATTTCCAACAGCCAAAATCAGAGACAGAAGTATGAAAAGCAAATTTACATAAGCAACTAGGACTCTCAAGCCAATAATTATAAATACAGCTTCTTAAAAGCAAATAAAATGCAATTTTTACAGTCCTTTTATTTATTTGGGGACATTAAGAAAGAGGGGGTTAACTTTCCCTATAAAAATCACACTGAATGCACTCAACAGAAATCTGCATGCTGACAAAACAACATGTGATCGTGTGGGTGCTAAAGTTTAAAGAGGAAAGCTCAATTCTGATATGTCTGAGCCAGTACAAGACAGTGCAGAAAGTCTATTCAGACAATTCTAAATAGTGTTTCTTTTTAGATATTGGAACAGACTTTTTCATTAACAAACTTTTACAAGTCAGACTCAAAAATTAACTATCAAGAAATATTAAAGCACGATAAATAACAATTCATGTAAAATTAAGTACAATCCTTAAATTTCTAAAAAGAATAAAAATGGATTTAGGTGAAAAATTAATGTTAAATGCTTTACAAAAAAAATATGCTAAGTAACTGTTGAAAAACTGAATAAATGGTAAGAGGTGGAAAATGCTTATAAAAATTCTCTAATCCTTCCCCTTTAAAGCAAACCAAACCAAAAAAAAAAATGTTTAACCAAATAGTCCAGCAGACTACACAGTAAAGTGTGTGTCCAAGACAATGAAGTACAAGAACAGCACGTTTCAATTATGTAAACGGCTGGTCTATAAACTTCTAGTTGAACCAGAAGCTCGGAGGTGAATTCAGAAACATTGCTAAGTTATGGCATCAGCTACAAGTGGCCTCCCTGGTACCGGTTTGCCCTACTTTCTCTCTTTTATTTGAAACCCTCCCATTATCTGAGGCCTAAGCTGTGGAGCATTATGGACCAATTAAGGCAAGTATGTCTTTACCCCACAGGAAGCTAAGTAGAGAAGGTGTAAGAAAAGGCTTGCATTCTTCTGTGCTTCCTTTTGTCCCCAAGAAACTCATCAGCAGAGTTAGCTCTTTATCCCTCTTCCTACTTCTCAGAATTCCCAACTTCACAGGGCAAGCAGCATCCTCAACTGGATGAGATCTGCCTGCGGGCTTTTCGGCAAGGGTGAACATCACTGACGGTACGCATGTCAAACTTACTATTACATTCATGCTACCATGCTATAGGAAAGCATAAACGATTTATGCCTTTAAAAGAATAAAATTCAAATTCTATTTAAAAGCTGTTAAACAATTACTTTTCAGATCAGAGACCTTCTTCTCTCAAACTAAGTCCAAATTTATACTCTTGATTCTTAACATTCTCAAAACTACTACACATATTAAGAACTGTGTTCCCATGATACTAAAATAATCAAATACATTTTCAGTACCTACTCTGCGCCAATCGATGTGCTAGGCCCAGGCATACACTCATGAACAAAAGAGACACCATCACATGTACAGCTTTTGATAAAATTACCTTTGATGAAGGCATCACTTATTGAGAGCTGTTGTCCTCCATTGTCAGAAATCAAATACTCTGCACACCAGGGAGAAAGGAGAGAGGAGGAAGCAAAGGGGAGACTTGTGACTATACCGAGCCAGCACAATTATATAGAGAACACACCCACATGCAAAGTATTACTCATACTACAACCATCACTGCCTGACCAATTCAAAAAAGCTTCAGCTAAAATGTGTCTTTAAACTTGGTTCACACACTTCATCCTAAATGTAATAGATTTAAATTAGTAATAGAACAAGAACAGTAATGTTACATCATCTTTAACAGACTTTTTTTCCCCTTATTTAAAACTTAACCCGTTTCACGGAAATTGAGATCTTCAGTAATTTACATGATAAGCCTAAAAAGTTATAGTTTTTTTTTCTTGTATTACTATGGTATTTAATAAATAATTACTTTGTCTATACACAAATTAGTTCACAGAGAAGCCACCTGATAATATAAGGTGTTTTTTAATCTCAGGGTGTATGCTATAAAACAAACTAATACAAAAGTGACACTGGCAGGGAATAAAGGATTTTTATCCGTTTTCTAATAAGAATTTTAGTATTTCAAAAATTCTAAGCAAACACTGCCCAATGGTTGGTTGCAATAACTGCTGAACATACTTACAATGTGCTCTTTTAGAATTTTTAGAATATTAAGTATTTTTCTTACAAGTGAAACTTATTCTTTACTTCCCCATGAACTCTTCTCTAGGTCTGTGACCAAGCACAGCTCAAGTGGAGTTCTTTCTACCATGCAAATTAAACCACAATGCATTTTAAGACCTGTAAGGTATTAATTAGGTTCTTCACAAAATTCTTTCCAAGTAGATTTCATTTATAAACAAATGGGTTTCAAAAGTCAATGTTTATAAGCCAATATGCTCATCTTTCAAACAAGACAGCACAGAAAAAATGTTATTTAGAAAATTCAAGTGCTCTGTGCCAAATACAATAAAATCAAGTGTGCAGACAAGTAAAAATAGGTGTTATGCTTTATTTCTACACCTCCCTCACAGAAGTAAATAATGCTAACCCCTGCTCATTCAAGTGATGTAATGTCTTTAAGTGCTTACTTATCATACTAAAGAGTATGCACATACATATATTTCAGAAGTGATGAATTTTCCCCATTTTATTATGAAAAAATTTCAAATATAGAAATACTCTCCACCTAGATTCAGTAATTGTTAACAACTTGCCAAAATCATTTCTCTCTATATATACATATGCTCTTTTTTCCCCACCATTTGAAGTTATACATATCATGACACTTTTCCACTAATCTTCAGCACGCATCTCTTAAAAATAAGGGCATTCTTCTCTATACACATTTAAGAATGCTGCCAATGAGTGTCTTAATATCGACCTAGTCCAAATTCAAATTTATCTAGCTGTCCCTAAAATGCTTTAATAATGTTTTTTTCCTCAAACCTGGATCCAACAAGGTTCATATATTGCATTCTCTTCATTCCCTTTTAATCTAAAGCAGACCCCACATTCTGAATTTGATCGATTGTTTCCTCACGGTGCTGTCTAACTTGCTCCTATTCCCCGTGTTTTCCTATAAATAGGAAGTTAGATCAATAGGCTTATGGAAGCCATGATTTTCACTCGCCTTTAGGTTCAACTCATTAACTTTCCAAGAACGCTTCAGAATCCTGCTTGCAACACATAATAATAAAATACATTTTAATTTTATAACTCTCCAAGGCCAACAGTGAAACATTAATCAAGCCAGAAGATCACACTAAGTTTCAGAAGTTTCTGAAAATGAGCGGCTTGCTTACATAAGAAAACAAAACCAGATTTTTTTAAATGCAGATATTTCAACCAATTTTATAAATCCAAATTTCCTCAGCCTTAGAATACAGAAAACGACCCGTGAGAAAAAGCTTAGTATTGCCTTTAACCTCAATGGAAAGAGAAAAACCACTCATCTCCATTTGTATTTTAAGAGAAATGAAAAAGAAACAGGACAAGTCCATCATTCTCTCACTTCACTACTAGATCACTCTGACCATCTTTACTTTCTAGGAATCAGTATTCATCTTAACTACAATGCAGAAAAATGTCAATTATCAAATTTCAACGTCACGAGGAAAACAGAAAAATATTAATTCACGTCAGTATGCTAAACACTATCAAGAGAACTGTGAAAACCAGAAACACTTATTAAGGGATTTATAAAGTTCTTATATTATAGACTCCTGAGGCTGCAAATGACCCAAGAGGTCAATCTAATAATTACCTTTTCTGATGCTGGAACCTCCTCTATTACATTCTTACTGTGTCGGCCAAAGGATTCCTTATGCCCCCTATAATTCTTTTAAAATTGCCGATCTCAATTTTTCATCTCACAGATTCCGAATTAAAAGCAAACTTAGAAGTCACCAAGTCTACCATAACCTCTCACCCAAGGTGGGCATCGAGCCTCAATAACTCTGAAAGGTAGACGTTCAGACACCACCTGCACACTCCTAGTGCACAGCAGAAAAGCTCACTACTCATAACTACTGAACCTAAGTTTTTCCCTCAGCTATGCACAAAATAAATACAATTTCTTTCAGATACTCTTCAGATGCTTAAAGGCAACATCACATGAAATATTAAGAATGGCTTTCTCCAGAGTATTAATAGTCAACTTTTTAAGCCTAATTACAGTATTTTGTGTTACATTTCATTTTGTTAGTGTACTGCTTAAGAAAAACTTTTTTTTTTAAGGTTAATCTTGGGTGGTTTTTTTTTTAAAGGTTAATCTTTTTTTTTTTTTTTAATTTTTATTGGGGAATTGGGGGATGAGAACAGCACAGGGGAATTAGGGGAAGGGGAACAGACAAGTTGCTGTCCTTTTGTTCTTCAGTCTAGTTGTGGAGGACGTTGCTTCACTGGCCCAAGTTGGC